TCTTATGCGTTCGATACTGGCTGTTTCGGATATAATTTTTTCACTTATAATATTTTCAGTTCGCTTTAAACGTAAGAATAAAATATATGTAAATTGCGTTAATACCGAAATCGAAAGATGAATGTAAATATGATGAATGATATCAAGATGGGATAAGATATCCATAATAATGAGCAATGATTTTAATGTCAACTTTACCAAGCCAGAAGCACGGCCACTTCTTGGGCAATAAATTAAAATGAAATAACACTAAGGAAAACGTTTGCAAACGTTGTATTAAAACTGTAAATGATGAGTGTAAATAGTAATTAATTATAAAGAAAACGGTTGACGTTTCGAAACAAGCCTCTTTCATGGCACACGTTCACACACATACATAACTTACACGCACAGCTGTGCCATAGGGAGTTTCATTTAAAATAAACAAGATTGAGTTGACATACCCTTGTGGACACACAAATTCTGATCAGGACTTCTACCTACGTACAAAAGAATATTTAAAAGTATCGAAGTATCGAAGAGGGAAAGGAAAACAGCGTTTGCCCTAAACAATGGCACACGGTGAGAGAATTACGGCAAGTGTAATAAAGCTCGGTATCGACCTGCGAGGCCAGTCGAAGGGGCGCGGAGGAGCCGCAGCAGAAGAGCCGCTATGCGGTATTCTGTGCAGAATATAGGCGCGTTTGAATGAATTTCGAATACTTTGAAATTCCGACGAGGAAATGGCTCGTCAAGATGACGTCATTCGCCTGTCCAGCTCGTTTTATTGAAGCGCAGCATCAATGACCGGCTTCGAAAACCGTACTCGTTGTTTTCTCTGTTTCCTGGGTACACATATCGAGTAGATATATCCAGGGTCTGCTCTTGACGTTTCGTCGCCCCGGACAAATTAGATTTACACATTTTCCGTTCTATACGCTTCTACATTCCTGATCAACGGCCTTAAATTAAATAGATTCACGTAAAATCGTGTATTTCAATTTCTCGTTCTTGAATTGAAACTTCTAAGGTCACAATAGTGCGTTAAAATTCGCAAGTTAAGGAAAGGGAGCGTATCGAGGAGTAAAACATTTATCGTTTCTTCTTATCTATTATTACATTCGACTTTCTATGTTAATTTACTATTTACGTTCATCTTCGCGTGTTAATACTTTTGTGCCGGAAACAACCAGTACTCAATGCGTAAGAACATTTTGTGAAAGGATAATTCATAATGATTCTCTTTAAATTAAGCATCTCATTTCACATGTGTCAAGCACCGATTTTTATTATTATTCCACATGAAATGCTAATAATTCTAATGATTTGCTTGCGGAGGTTAAATTTAAACACTTATTATATTTACTTTTAATTTACTCAAGGAAGAGAGGAGTGAGAGAATTAATTGAAATCGTTTCCAAGAAATTTCGAGTTTATCAAATAACTGCTTCATAAACGGGAGCCTTAATGCGCTTCGCAAATGGGTAGGGATCGTTGCTAGACGAGGCTGTGAATCAATTATTTCCGGGATACGCTTTTTCCACCATGCGACGTGTTATTGTCCATTGACCTGGGCTCCCTCTATATGTTTCATGATGAAACGCAGCCAAGGTACGTGGAACAGGCGGGTGTGCGTTGCAAATTCTGTGTGACCGTAACGTCCGCGGTCGTAATATCGCCTTGGCGTTTCATAAATATTTCCGGGTGTTCCGAAAATGGGAGGATTTTTAGCTCCGCGAACGTTTCAAAAAGAGGTTTCACCTCGAAACGCCGAGTGGGTCAAAGTCGGGCCTTCAGACTTTGAATATTTAGGTCGCACTGCGGGGAGTACGTGCGTTACCGTTTTCAGCAGAGACGTGTAATTAAACGCACGTAGTGAATACGGTGACCGTGTTGTTTTAAAATTTAAATAGTAAATGAGCTGTAATAAGAGGATATAGGCTTAAATATATACGTATATTCTTTGCTTTCAACACTTATAAACATTTAAGACCTTCACATATACCTCGTGCAATCGTAAGTATAACGGTAAGAGTTGACCAATCAAATTACGAACGTCAACGCCATACCTCCTACATACACGTAGGAAAATATTTGGTTGAATCAATATAATTTTCGTTGGTTTAACCATATAATATGGTTATTATACGGACAACCAAATATTCGGTTGACGCGACCACATCCTTAGGTTAATCATTTTTGGTCGTTCACGTAAAATATTGTGGCAGATCACCCCAAATATTAAAGTATTTTGGTACAGTTAATACAAATATTCGGTTTATAGACTGAAATATTTTCTAAAATTAACGGAACGATTTAACCACTTCAGTTGATTGAAGCAAACAAGTTTAGTCAACTGAAGGTTCGGTTAACTCGACCAAAACATTTTCTGAAATGAACCAAATGCAGTCGATCAAACGATTTTGTTGAAGGAAACAAATTCTTTTATCTGCGGGTAGAAGCGCAGAATTTAGGAATGTTAAATGAAGAGACTAATTCCGTAAATGAATATTATTTTAAAGTTAGTAACAATCGAGACCTTCTCGATTCGCGGAGGCGTAATGTCGAGTCGGAAATGAAGTTCCCGGGTGCGTGATAAGATAATTCGGTCGTTTTTGCTTGGTCCTGACCTTGGGGAGCCGCAAGCCGCGCTAGGAGGTCAAGGTCTCCTCGAACGGCCGATAAACGGAATTGGGTCATTCGGCGAGCCGACCTCCTTCTTGTGCCCCGCGCAGGGCCATTTATGCGCGCATCTGCTGCCACGGCCCTGTCACGAGTCGCAACAACCATGTCCAACAACGAGCTACTCGCATCGCACCGTGTACGCGAACCATAGCAAATTATATGAACCGCGGTTGCACGCGCAACGACAAATTGTGCGAGCGGCAGCATAAGTTGCGTATGCTACGAGTTGAGTGGATTGCAATGGGCTGCGCGTGGTGTAGTAAAGCTGCGCCAGCAACAGGGAGCTGCGCGATATAAAACAGCGATGTTAGTCAAGCGAGTTACGACTGTTATATGTGATACCATACGATCCGAAACGGGGAGATCGCGGTGCTAGTTGTTACATTTCGGATTTCAAAATTTTTTACGAGTCCCCGATTAAACTTGGAAACCTGAGCTCTTGGTTATTTGTCAAATAATTACTTAAGCGTATTTGGTAATATTTTCATTTTATATCAATATGTTAATATATGATTGGAATTTATTTTGTATCTTACAATGTGGACTTCCTCTACTGCGGGGTAAGAAATGGAAAAGGTAAATAGGATGCATGACTTATTTAAATTAACAAAGAAGCTAAATAATACTTAAAAACAAACAGCGATGTAAGTCAAGTGAGTTATGGCAATTATATGTGATATCATACGATCCAAAACGAGGAGATCGCGGTGTTAGTTGTTACATTTCGGACTTCGCCATTTTTTACGAGTCCCCAATTTTTGCAGTTTAACGACCTGCCTAAATTTACTGTAATGACTAGCCCAGAGTGTTAATTTATTTAAAGAAACCCTCTTCTAAATATATCGTAATTTCATAAATATATATGGAATATTACTGTAGCTAAATATGAGGACAATGAAAATACAGAATGGTTAAAATATAAAAAATGATGTAATATAAATTCTCTCAAAGTTTTCTTAATCAAACTACATATAATGAATATTTATCAAATGGATCACGTGATGTATTAAGGTGGAGGTGGTGCATCTAATGAAAGCTTTCAAAAACTAATTGCAACATTTTATCCCTTGTAATAATTAGCAAAGCATCGTATACGTTAAAGTATCGGTATATTATTAATCTTGTGCATACGGAAGAACAGCTTCTCCCCGTCTTTCAACTGCAAAGGCCTTTACACACATTTCGCGTAACAGTTACCGTAAACATAGCAGGGAGAACTGGCCAATCCAATTGTAGAAAATGTAATATGACGTCTATGTTCGGCAATTTGATTGGCTAATTTTTATTGCTATACTTACAGTTATTGTTACGAGAGGTACCTGCAAACGCCTTAACGCAGAAAACGGCCTGCAACTTTGAAATGGGAAAAATGTAGGTCAACAGAAACACTTGCCACCCCAGAAAATTGCATTCGATTCGATGAAATTTAATGTAGAAAGTACTGTCCTTTTTCCAGACGTGTTCTGACAATCATCGAAACCTTCGGGAGTAAATTAAATCAATTGCGTAAAAAGGGCTTAAAAGAAGGGTAACAGTGCAATCCTCAGTACTCCTGCGAATCGTCCTTTTAAATTAATTGTCTAGAGTGGTTGGAATTACCGGAACTTCTTTCGTCGACACATTTTTCAAGAACCAAAGATTCGAAACGCGATAAAAAATTTCAAGGAATCGAGAGTTTCCAGGAAATTCAAGATGGACATTTATCAATCTACCCGAAGGGTCCTGCAGACTCGAGAACATTTTACGTTTATCGCGATGGGGGGCTTTCTGTTGCGTTTTTATATTTTTTTTATTGGAAGCTATGCAAGCGCGATATGCAGCTGCTGATCGAAGGGAGGAGGAGGAGGCTTTGTCCGTGTGACAATTGATCGGAATTACGGATCGAAGAATCGGGAGGCCAATCGCCTCGTTAAATCGATGGAGGGGCTCTGCACCGGAGAGACAATGCGCCCCAGCAAATCCTTCTGAAAGCTGAAGCTCGTTCTGCAATCTACATTGTGTCCAAAATCAGGTTTCCCAGGATTTCTGCTGAACACTTGAATTGTACTTGCAGATAGGTAAATCGAATGCACTACTTCTTCGCGGTGAGCATTTGCATTGTTACAAGCCAATGGTACGATGCTTTCAGAATTAAGAAACGAAGCTTCAGTTCCTTTGTTTGAACGTTTCTTCTACAGGATTTACCCCATTTATATTTTTCTACTCGTGTGAATAATTCACTACAATTTATACCGTCAATTGTACTCTCTTCCCTGTTTGTAGGAAATAGCGGTAATAATGGTAAATATCGAAACCCATCATTTCAATTCTTGTAAAATGTTATTCTTTTTTTACAGTTAACCGTTCCCAGAGTTGAATTCGGCTCCGTAAATTAGTTCGAGACAAGTCTACGCATAAGTTGACCGAAAATGATCAATTCCGGCGATTTGAAGAGGAGTGGGGCACGATGGGTCTGCCCGAATGACCGACAACTCGCTTTGAGAGCCAAGTAAGCAAATCTCGCTCCAGAAGCACATTTCCCCGCGATTCTGCCTGAGCCCTGATTTTCGAGTGATCTCGAAGAAAACAAAGGCTCCAGGAAGTCCCGAACGATCGATGTGCTTGTATGCTTTATGTTACAACGAGGCTTACACGTAAGGTCACTGCTAATCAGTGCCCTTTGTTCCAGGTTGCGTACAGGATGGTCGGTAAAGACGGGATCTCTCGACTCGCGATACGGCGAGTACACGTACACTTCCTCTCATCCTGGTAATTCGGCCTCTTCAACACCAGTTGTTGCCCTGACAGATGAGGAGCGCAGCATGATCATACAGGTTAATTATTCCATTACTTAAAACGGTTTGGCAGCATTTCAAGGCGTCTCGTATACAAGCTAAATGCTAATATTTATTTTTGATGCAATTAAAAACAAAGAAACGAAAAATGATTCGAATTTACTTGTAATTACAGACGGTGGTCTCACAGACTCGGCCATACATCTAATTCTGTTTTCTCTCTGTACTTTTCTCTCCATAAATTTTATTAACAGAATTTCTTCAGCTCTTTAGTATGTTAATTTCATTACTACAATGCCTTCCTCGAAGGCTTAACTTTCAGTTATTGTTTTCACTCTATGTGAATGAAAAATTGGTCTTGGAACCACGTGTCTATTTTCACGATCACTAAAATATCATGTTTGTTGTTAGGGATTAAGCAGAGATTGTTGCCAGGGTTCAACATGAGGATTATTTGTGGTGTTTTAGAGGATGATCGGGGCGATGCGTTTTAATTCAGATGTGTTTAAAAGGGAATTAAAAAGAAGACCAAATATTTGCTTATGGAGCTGTTTCAGTTCATGTTTTCTAGAGAATTTAAAATTACAAAGTAATGAAATGTTTCAAAACGGCGAACTTGTTGTGGTTGAAAATTTCTCATGTCTTATTTTCATGGAGTACATAGTTCCAGGAGTACGATGCGTTTGAAACAAAAAATTAAGGTGGTTTTAGAAACAAGACAAGATTATTTAGGAACTGGTGGCACGGAATTTTAACGTAAAATTTGTTCAATAGACATTAACGATTTTTATTGAAAATTCGTGCCATTGGTTCTTAAACAATCTTTTCCAGTTTTTGAAACCACCTTATCTTTTTGTTCCAGACTCGCCGTACTCCTAGAACCATGTACACTGTGAAACGAAAAATTTCCGACCACAGAAATTCCCAGCTTCCGTAAGTCCGCCATTTTTATACATTATATCACTCGTTTTATCTTAAATTCTCCGTGAAACATGAAATAAAACAGCCCCGCAAGCCAATATTTCCTCTGCCTTTTCATTTTCTTTTAAACTCACTTTGATTAAAACGCATTTCACAACCTACTAACTCCCTTAAGAGAAACGTGCCTCGGAGTCGTTTCCTGAAAATATTCGCGATATGCCAGAGACAATGCTTTCTTCCTTGTTTTAATAACTGTTCTAACGAGCCACTTGAACTGGCATTACTCTTAAACTTACTACTCCGATACTTCACAGTATCAAATAACACTGTATCGTACAAAATGCGAGCCCTGTTGCAGAATGCCCGGTATATCTCTGCATGTGACCCTTTCAACCTGCTGAGTGCCGGCTCAAGTGTCAAAGTGCATTACAGGGCTGCAGGCATTTTACAATCCTCGTTGCAACAACGCTCGCGTTTACAGTCAACCGCAACAATTTCAGGGACTCCGATGGGAGCCTTTCAACCACTTAAGGGCTTCCCCTAAGCAGCCCTGAGTGCCTCTCGCAAATATTAACCGCCAACGAGGACGAATATCGCGATCTAAGCGAGGCTTCATTGAATTACACCGCATCAACCTAATTTCCTCCAATCATAAGGGAACCCATCCCCCATCCCCGTTAACTCGCGATCCAAGAAGACAATAAACATCGTATGTCCTTCCCCTCGAGGTACTCCATTTTCAAAAGTCTCCATATTTCATCCGAAGACTATCATTATTATCCTCATTCATTCATTCATTGTACTTCGGATACGTGATTACCAGGCACACTGTTAAAAAAAAAAAGAAAATTATAATTTTATAATATTTTTGCTGGAAGTTTCATTCAGACATAGTATACTAATTTTGTAACACATTTGCAACAAATTTATAAAATGTATCATAAATTTAGTACATATGTTTATTAATTTTTCCACGCAATTTCACAAAGTTTTTAACGTGACGTCATCAAATTATAAGTTCATTTAGAAATTTGTAATAAATGTATACTAATTCACTTTTAGGATATTAAATGTACAATTCTACCGCAACTTTATGTACTAAAAACGCATGAATTTTATGAATATTTCTATGAGTGGAGGTTAAATAATGACGATATCGAGGTCCTTGTTCACGGTCGCGTGCATCCATTGATGAATCCTTTGTGTCCTGTGCAGGTGATCCAGCGTGCAGAGGCCTTGGATCTGGCCGAACAGGAGCGAGTGGGCAGGTTGGTGGAGAGGCTGGAAAACATGAAGCGCAATGTGAGCACGGCGATGGGATCCGGGACGACGGAGAGGACCTGCGGGAGCAGGTGCGCAGGTGGAACCAAGTGCGTCTGCTCCTGCGCCCTCTGCGGCGAGAGGTTCGCCGTTCTGGGGGCCGGACCAGGACTCTGCAAGGACTGCCGCAGGTACATATGCCAGAAGTGCGGCATAGAAGCCACCCCCGCCGTGACCTCGCCCTCAGCCTCAGCCCCGGCCTCGACCTCGACGACCTCCCAGGTGGGGGAGGTCGCTCAGCGACTCCTTCGCAGGAGGTCTTCTACCGCGTCGGCGCAGAGGCTGTTTCTCTGCAGGATCTGTGCCGAGACTCGGGAGATGTGGAAGAAAAGCGGCGCCTGGTTCTTCAAGGGCCTCCCGAAGTACATCCTTCCAGAAAAGAAGGTTGGTCTTGCTGAGGAAATTCCCTCTTCTTGGAGTTATTGCATGCTAGAATGAGAAGAAAGATAGATTTCTTCCTCGTTCCGTTTCTTTTTTTTTTGCTTAAATTTCATGGGCATAGCAGCACGAAGCTAAATGCTCTGTGGAGGGTAGCGTAACGATAATATTGTATATTGCTCGCCATATCGAGATCAAGTATAACGCTGTAACTCTCGTAGTATATGTACATTTACATGTTATGAGCAAGGTGATAAATTCGAGCAACGTGCACAATACCTGGAATTTATGCAGAATACTCGATTGTAGTGCCCGGGCATTCTTCAACGAGACCAGGAAATGTGCATTATTTTTAATACATTGCCTGATTGATCATATCATCCGTAACGTTAATACATAACATATATGTGCGTATACATGTTACGATTATAAGGTTTGCCTATGACGCGAAAGCGTAAGCCGAAAATTTACATACGCAAGTGTGCTAACCACGTTGGTGGTTTTCGGCTATCGTATCCAAGCTTATCAGCCGTGCCGATGGTGTTTACACAGGATGTGTAAGCTTGTTTGCCATTCGTGGAGGGTTGAAATAAAGACACCGCGAATCTCTTGAGTTCTTTCAACGAAAGAGTCGGCAAATCGCGACTTGTTCACGCTTGTTCGATCGTACACGCAGAAAAAATATACATAGTCGTAACAAGAAATTTGATTTGCTTCAACAAATGTGAAGACTTAAAAATGGACTAGCAAAATTTGTGTTATATTGACAAGAAAAAAATGGTTACTTCACCAGGGCAACATTCGTGATGAAAATTCTATTCGTGGTTGTGATATGCTTTTCTAACAACAACAAATTGTATATCGCTCGTTTGTTAGATTGGTAACAATATTTTTTTAGCTGTTGCTACAAATTCATTTTCTAATTTAAGTGCGGTTTTTTTAAAAAAAAGCTCCATCCTACGTTATAATTGCAAACAGTTTTTCCGTTGGTGCGATTATTACTGCTGTAAGAGCAAATTTTATCAGCAATGCTGTCCTTTGTTGAAAGTGTACATATATATTTTTTTTTTATGTAGGACCGCGGACGACCTCGGGCCGGTTCTCGGGCGTCCGGATGGACCCTGGCTAGCTCTACACGACGATTGGACTCCTTGGAGCAGGATTCGTCGTCCGATGACGACGCCACTCGTCGTCTCGGTTTGATGCGTCGTTTTTCCACGACCGTAAGCAGCGGAGATCACTCGAGCAGAGAGGATGCCCCAACCTCGACTACTGACGAAAAGTCTTTGCACTCTCTGGCTGCGACGACACCCTCTGTCGCTTATCGCAGGTGGGAATCGAAATGGAATTTTTCCCATTAGCAATTATCCTGAGTCGAAATTATCGATGTAAATTGAACTTTAAAGTCCTCTTTTAATTTGCCTACAGAAATGTTAGCCTCGTTTAGTTTACTAAGAACCTCGGAGTTCATTTTTCGTATCAGGACGTACAAAGAATGTTTCTGTTAAACCGAAGCTTCAGAAATCTCAGAACGGAGTGCTTATTCCATTTTATAATTCGATTTGAAAATCTTAAAATGACATTACAGATGATAAAGGAAACGACAATCGGTAACCTATGGTTCTGGTTTTTCTATGATGTAATTTAAAGCTTACTAAAAATACCGATTTATTGCATCATTGCATTTATGAGTAGTAGAATCTTAAAGATATAAAGTTGAATATTACATTTCCTGTTAACTATATCTATAAGAGTATTTCTAGGGCTAGGGGCGAATGGGAGTCCTCGATTCGGTATTCAAAAATTCCGGGCTCCGAGGTTTAACCGAGTTTCGATCCGATGCTCGTTTGGACCTCAACCCTCCAAAAACAGACATAAGAGTATATTTAAATTTCAAGCGAGATTAATTTCATTAATACTTAAACCTCTTATCTTAAAATCTCGTATTGCACTCCAAATCCTCATGTCCGTCATGAGGTAAAAATTTTCGACTCGAAATAACGAGTAAATCGATACCGGATTCTCCAATCTGTTCAATTTCAGGCAAAGCTCCTGCCCGACGCCGGAGATGTCCTTTTTAGGCGGTGATTCGAGCTCCAAGACGAGCGAAGTCCCTCGGGCCCAAATATCGCCGTCGCCCTCGAGTGTCACCGTCAGGTCAAGAAAGAGCCCGAACGGAGTGCAGCAGGTCGGCTTTCCGGACCTCGATGAGCCCGTGGAGGAGCAGCGGTCGAGCAGTCCTCAGGTACAGCTTCGCAGGTACGTAGAGGGCCCCTGGAGAGGAGGAGAGGATTCTATCACCCCTCTTTTGGAATTTCAGGTTGAGCTCGGGGGAGCGACGATCTCCAAGAGAGGCCAACGTCGAGCCCGAATGGAACAGGTGCAGGGTGCGAGCCGGATTGGGTCAGGACAAGCAGTCGCGCAATCAGGCTCAAACCGGTGAGTGATCCTCTCGGGGTCCCGGTGGTCAACTCCAAAAATCGTAGCCGTTGGCCGCCCGCTAGAAAAAAAAAAAAGTGATAAGACGGGGTCGCTACGTTTAATGAAGTGCTCACCGATGATCGTAGCGTCCTCGGGACTCACGGGCCCGGACCTCGGGACCCTGGAGGTCTCCTTGCGATTCGACCCAGCGGCTCAGTCCCTCCAATGCAAGGTCCTAAGGGCCCGAGGCCTCCTGCCCATGGACATCCAAGGCCTCGCGGACCCCTTCTGCAAGCTCAACATTCTACCAGTGACCTCCAACTCCTCCAGGCGGCTCAGGACGAAGACCGTGCACAAAACCAGGGACCCGGAATTCAACGAGACGGTCAATTTTTACGGGACGACCGAGGCGGACGTAAGAACTCATTCTTTGCTCGAAGGATTCTTCTTACGCTGCTCAAAATATCTAGTAGAAATGTAGTAGTCAATGTTTTTTCAAGGCACGATATTTTAAAATATTGTAGACCATCGTGGTCGGGATGTTAGTATACCCTGAGAAAAAAGATTGGTTAACTGAAATAAATATATATCGTTGACACATATACTGTGGCCTGAATCATATGTAATTGTAAGAAATAATTATTTTGTTGAGACGAAAAATTGATATGGCCAATTTAAGTGAATTTCGTTCACTCGATGTGACATTTCTTTGGACTTATTTTATCGCAGGATTTTATCGTCGCAATGCATATTTCTTTGAGACAACCAACATTTTTTCTCAATGTACGAGTGTAGGGATTTCAAAGGACACGTGTAGGCATACTAAATTTCTCGACATCTTTCGTATAGTAATTCACGATCACAATCACTCTAATCGTGTCATTACTTTGCAGACGAAGAGTTCGGCCCTCCACGTTCTGATCCTGCAGGACGACCCCGCGGGCCACGATTTTCTGGGAGAGGCGAGGTTCCCCTTAAACGAGCTGCAACCCTATCAGACCAAAGCCTACAACGTCTTCCTGGAGAACCATTACCCGGTGCGTTCTTGACATTTTCCTCTATAAAAAATTATGAACATATCGACTAATCGTTAACGTTTCCGGAGACCCGCTAAACTAACATCGAAAACTCCACTTCTTCCCCAGGTGGACCAGGAAGACGTGGTCTGGGGGGAGGGTACCAACCCCCGAGGGCAGCTTCAATTAACCCTAAGTTACAGTACTCGGCGGCGCGCGTTATTAGTCACCGTTCAATCAGCGGCGAATCTCTTGCCCATGGACAGCAACGGGTTCTCTGACCCATTCGTCAAGCTTACCCTGATGAAGGACCCGAAAGACACCTTCCACCGGTTTCGGTCCTACGAAACCGCGAGCGCCGGATCGAAGGCCTCGAAGAAGGACAACAAGAAGCAAGGCGCTCGCAACAACGTCCACTCAACCAGCGTCAAATGGAAGACTCTGAACCCAGAGTGGAACGAAGAGTTCGCTTTCGAGACGCGACTTACGGACCTAACGGGCCTGGCTCTGACCCTGTCAGTGTGGGACAAGGACTTCGGCAAAAGCAACGACTATCTGGGTGATTAGTAAACTTTTTTTTATTCATTTTGATCCATGCGGATCGCCCTTGCGCAAGATTTCCGAAGCGCGTCGCAAAGTTAAGGAGAAGTAGGTAAAGTCTTAATAAATTTCTATCAGGTTGTCTAGAACGTTATTGCGGATTTTGCCGTCTAAGACGCTTTGTTTTCAAATTAAGTTGTTTTTCCCTTATGCCGATTAAATACCGCTTTAAAGCGCTGACTTCGCTCGAAATTTTGATATCAATACCTGTGTTTTAAATGTTGCATCAATTACGCAGGTCGTCCAGAACACATTTGATCTTCAAGGATATTGCGAATCACCACAGCTGCTTTACGACCCATTTTGAAGTATAAGAAAATCATCTGAATTTGCTTCTTTTCCAACTTTAATTAAATAGTCTAAATTAAACAGAAAATAATGTTTAAAACACATTATGATTATCAAAATATAGAGCGAGATCTGCCCTTTAAAATAGTATATAACATGGACATAAAAAAAAAACAACTTTATTTGAAAACGAAACGTCAAATCTGAAACGGTAAAAACCACAATAATTGTCTATATTTTTACTCAAGATCGCAGAGCTGTTCAGAGGTACAGTGGATTAATTTTGTTATATAATGATTATACGTTCTAATGAAAAACTGTTGGTAATAGGAGGACTGGTTCTGAGCTGCAACAGCAAAGGAGCTCGACTGCGACACTGGATAGACGCGATCAAGTTCCCCGATCATCGACATCAAGCTTGGCACAATCTGACAGAAGCCGTCGTCCCTGAATAAGGTCGAGAGTGTTTTCCAAGAGGCAAATAATCGAGATACTGTCGTCAACAATTTTCCTGTTTCCATCTTCAATGGCGAGTCCGGCATTCTGTCCGGATCGTATAATTCTAAAGTTTTCGAGGAAGGGATAAGGAGTTTCTCTAGTAAAGAATAATGTGATCGAAATGTGACTAACGTTCAGTCAAACAATTTTTTAACTTTAACTTTCCAATTCAAACGAGTTTAGTTGGTCACTTCGAATAATAGAAGCATTAACTGTTACGTAATTATCGATACATCTCGTTTAAGAGACGTTCCAAATTTTAATCACATTGATCGACTGTGAGAGCGGCCTGACTAGTCCGCTTTCCGTACTGTCAAGCAATCGTCTTATCGCAGACAATCACAAAATTAACTTAAAAACATAATTAGCTGGCACAATTTTAAACAATGTTGTTCTATAACTATGTCGAACACTAGCAATTTTATCTTGCCGAATTATAACGTGACGTTAACGAATAAAATATTTATTTTAAGTGCTGCTGGATCGTTCATTTCTTGACATCGTAATGAGGTATGAAAAGACGTAAAATGTTCTCCCTTTTGCCTTAAAAAACGAAAATTATATCTTGAAACCGATACGATAACAGCAGGAAGAAATTAAGATGGGGAGTTATTGGGTCTGCCACGAATGCCTGAATTAGTACACTACATAACTTTTTTTTAAAAAGTATAATCATTATTTTACATGTGTACATACAGACATCTTACAAAGTTCAAAGAGAATATAGAAACTCAGTCATCTTCGGACGAGTCTTCTTCGGCTTCTTGAAGCCACTTAATGAAGGGCTGGACAGCCTTTCGCACTGTGCTTGCTGCCTCAGCATTTTCATCATCTTCTTGTTCGTACCACTCCAGGATTTTTTCTTCAGATAAAACGTCGTACTCGTAAAAAACATGCAACAAATTCTTTAAGAAAGAAAGTAGCTCCTCGGTAGTACTTGCCACTTCTTCCAAAGCTTGTAAACAAATTTCTTGTGCATTCTCTGTTTTAATATAATTAACAATAATTGGTTTGAAATATGTAACTAAAGCACGCAATGTTTTCTGGTAATTAACGGTGTTCAAGGTGGTCTTCGTTTCTGATAAGTAATAGAAAGGTAAACTCAGAATAGCTTTGACTACGTTGTATGTAACTTCTCGAATGCCAACATTATATGCATATCTAGAGGAGTTGATCTCTAAAATCAAGTTCTCACAATTTAATTTATCTTGATACCCACGTAGGAGACTGTCGATAACTTCTGTCAAGAACATATTTGTATCATCTGGTATGGGAGAGTTTGGTAATGAATCATTGTCAACGGATGATTCATCTAACTCTGTTGAATTGTCGTCACACTCTTTAGAGTCATCATAGTTAAAGTACAGCATTGCACTATTGGATTCAATATCTTCTTCAAACATATTTTTCTCAATCATATTAGCATTCTCACATTCAAAAATCATTTTTGTGCATGATCTTTTTGCTGCTATATGAATACCAGGTGATAAAATGCAAGTTTCAAGGATAACATTAGTATCTAAAGTACAATTTGGAAATAGTATACTATTTTTTATAGTGCAGTTATCCCCAATGGTTACATTTGACAAGATGTATGAATTTTCGACATTTACATTACGTCCTAGAGAGCAATTGTCTCCGATGATAGTCCTTGTTAGAATGGCATTTTCTCCTAGTATACTCATTGGGCCAACTAGAGAATCACGTCGAAGGATACATCCCTTAGCAAGAGTGGCACTGCGATGTTTATACGTGCTTCTTGATGTATGAACGAAATTTCTTAAGCAGTGAAATGTATCCGGAACGAGAGGGTAACACAACCTCCGTAAAATGTCACAGTTAAGGATATGGTAAGTTTTCCAGGACGTAATGGGAAGAGCATACTCTTCCGAGCTTAAGCGCTCTGAGTAAATTCGGGTATCTAAAATCTCCTCATTCATCAATACACCTCGTATAAAATCCTCCATAGTCTGAAAGTAATATTAAAACATTTATAATATTGTAAAATTAAATTAAACAGGATATATTACTTGCATGTGGAATTACCTGAAAGTCAAAGTTATCCGAAAATAAAGGCAGAACTGATGGAGAGCATAAATAAACATGCGAATCCAAAAAATTTGTATTAATTTCAATTCGTTCATGTCCTAAAAACCACTCCAGTTCTAGAGGAAACTTCCTCTCCTCGTTTCCTAACTTTTTATAAAATAAAACCTGAGTACTAGAGCCATCCGTAACGACTAGGTTTGTTTCTTCTTTCAGAGAGTGTACGTTTGTCGAACCAATATCACGAAGAATCATTGTCATAGCTGCTCCCTTATCCTTTACGACTTTAGAACGGTGGATATCTAAAAGGTTCTTTAAATTAGCATTAGTAAATGCATCTCCTCGAATTAATACAAAGTCTCCGCGGACCCATCCTTTTGCATCAATGTCTCGAAGAGCATCTCCAAGTGACTGACATCCGTCAGAGAGAATTAATGATATATTAATATCTTTATGGTTCTTTTCATGTATGTATTGCTTAATGGAATCAATGTGATTACTGCAGTAAAGATATAGGCAATGTATTCTTGAACTAATTAAAGTTTCAATTAAATAATCTAGCAGTGGTACATTTACTACTGGTAGTAAAATACTTGATAATATGTTCTGTCCGGGTGATAGATTAGTCGTAAAATCGTCAGCGAGAACAACTGCTTGCAAGACATCTTTCTTCCCCAATTTTGCACCCACGACTTTTTGCGACATCTTTAACGATGTTTAACGATAACCACAGAAAAAAAACACTATTTAATAAATACCAGAGATGAGCTGGGAGATTGCTCACGGGCAGGATCGTGCGATCGCATCCTGTGCTGTCCTCTGGTTTCGTACGTTAGCTTTCACCGTTTTTTGCCCCCAAGGGCGGCGCAACGAATTTCTGATAGGAGCTTGCGCACTCACGATGGCGCTACCATCTACCAGTCGCCGTTGGTGGCTCACGTACTCGTGATGGTAATACCATGCGGCAGTTGACGGTGGTGGCTTACCTACGCTTACCGACACTGCTCGCTTTTGATGGTAAGGGAAGAACACTCGTGACGCTCCATTTGACTTTATCTACTTATCTACCACTATTAAATACATTGTTGCCTCGAAGTCGACGTGATGCGGAGCTTTCGGGAGTGCGTCGGTGTCGCGTACGGAACTCTCATGCAGCGAATCTGCGTGAGTACGATCGGTCCTAGTAATCTTCGCGGGTCCCAACCAGCCAAACGCCAAGCTACGGGTCGAGATGTTGAGTATATGTGCGTTCCGCGCTACACTCGACGAGTATGCGTGAGAGTCGAATACTGCGAAAAATCCTCCCGAGGCTTATCTAACTGCGGATATAAGCCGAGTCGTTTCGCGTATGATTTTTATATTTCCCTACTAGCGTTATCGAGCGGTTTTCGACAGTTTTCGAACGTTTTTTGACCGTTTTCGAATGTTTTCGAGCGTTTTAACAGCGTTTTCGAGCGTTATCGAGCATTTGTCAAGCGTTTTCGAGCGTTTTCGCGCGTTTTTAAAATAGAGGCCCGTAGAGTCCCGTAGAGTCCCGTAGAGTATGCGTGAGACGCGAAAACTGCGAAAAATCCTCCCGAGGTTTACCTAATTGCGGATATAAGTCGAGTCATTTCGCTCATGATTTTTACATTTCCCTACTAGCGTTATCGAGCGTTTTTAGGCGTTTCTAGAGCGTTTTTGAACGTTATCGAGCGTTATTGAGCGCTTTTCGAGCGTTTTTGAGCGTTTCTCAATCATTTTCAGAGCGTTTTCGAGCGTTTTTGAACGTTTCTCGATCATTTTCAGAGCGTTTCAACCGTTTTCAAGTGTTTTTAGAGTGTTTTCGAACGTTATCGAACGTTTTTCGACCGTTGTCGAGCGTTATCGATCATTTGCGCGCAATTTCAAATGTTTTCGAGCCTTACAGAAGGCCGTACAGTGATGTTGCGTGTTGTTAAGTGCAGTAGAGTGCCGGCGAGTTGCTGGAGCGTGCCGGAGAGTTGCGGGAGTGTACCGGAGAGTGCCAGAGAGTTGCTGGAGAGTGCCGGAGAGTGCCGGAGAGTTGGCGCAGAGTGCCGGAGAGTGCTGGAGAGTGTCGGAGAGTGCCGGAGAGTTGCCGGAGAGTGGCCGCAGAGTGTCGAAGACTACCGGAGAGTGCCGGAGAGTTGCCGCAGAGTGCCGGAGAGTGCTGGAGAGTGTCGGAGAGTGACGGAGAGTTGCCGGAGAGTGCCGGAGAGTGCCGGAGAGTTGCTGGAAAGTGCCGGAGAGTGCCGTAGAGGTACCGGAGTGTGCCGGAGAGTGCCGGAGAGTGCCGGAGACTGCCGGATAGTTGCCAGAGACTGCCGGAGAGTTGCCGCAGACTGTTGTAGAGTGCCGGAGAGTGCCGGAGAGTTGGCGCAGAGTGCCAGAGAGTGCCGGAAAGTTGCCGCAGAGTGCCGGAGAGTAGCCGCAAAGTGTCGGAGACTGCCGGAGACTGCCGGAGAGTTGCCGCAGAGTGCCGGAGAGTGCCGGAGAGTGCCGGAGGGTGTCGCAGTGTGCCGCAGAGTGCCGGAGAGTGCCGGAGAGTGCCGCAGAGTGCTGAAGAGTGCCCAAGAGTGCCGGAAAGTGCCGGAGAGTTGCTGGAGAGTGCCGGAGAGGGCCGGAGAGTGCCGGAGAGTGCCGGAAAGTTGCCGGAGAGTGCCGGAGAGTGCCGGAGATTTGCCGCAGAGTGCTAGAGAGTGCCGGAGAGTTACCGCAGAGTGCCGGAGANCCGTACAGTCCCGTACAGTCCCGTATAGTTCCGCAGAGTTCCGTAGAGTGCCCGTAGAGTCCCGTAGACTGCCCGTAGAGTCCCGTAGAATCCCGTAGAGTGCCCGTAGAGTGCCATAGAGTGCCCGTAGAGTGCCCGTAGAGTCCCGTAGAGTCCCGTAGAGTCCCGTAGAGTGCCCGTAGAGTCCCGTAGACTGCCCGCAGAGTCCTGTAGAATCCCATAGAGTCCCGTAGAGTTCCGTAGAGTCCCGGAGAGTCCCGTAGAGTCCCATAGAGTGCCCGTAGAGTCCCATAGAGTGCCCGTAGAGTGCCCGTAGAGTCCCGTAGAGTTCCCAGAGAGTCCCGTAGAGTGCCCGTAAAGTCCCGTAGTGTCCCGTAGACTCCCGCAGAGTCCCGTGGAATCCCGTAGAGTCCCGTAGAGTGCTCGTAGAGACCCGTAGAGTGCTATAGAGTCCCGTAGAGTGCCCTAGAGTTCACTACAGTTCCCTAGAGTTCACTACAGTTACCTAGAGTTCACTACAGTTCCCTGGAGTACCCTAGAGTGCGTATCTACCCTAGGTTACGTGACTCCCGTGAATCCGGACAAATTGCGTGAAGTCGTCGCGTGAAGTCGCGTGAAGTCTTGTGAAGTCGTGTGAAGACGCGGGAAGTCGTAGGAGCACTCTACGGGCACTCTACGGAACTCTATGGGACACTACTGGCACATTATGGGCACTCTACGGGACTCTACGGGACTCTCCGGGACTCTGCGGGACTCTGCGGGACTCTACGGGACTCTACGGGGACTCTACGGGACTCTGCGGGACTCTACGGGACTCTACGAGCACTCTACGGGACTCTGCGGGACTCTACGGGACTCTACGGGACTCTACGGGACTCTACGGGACTCTACGGGACTCTACGGGACTCTACGGTACGCTGCGGGACTCTACGGGACTCTGCGGGACGCTGCGGGCACTCTACGGGACTCTACGGGACTCTCCGGGACTCTGCGGGACTCTGCGGGACTCTGCGGGACTCTACGGGACTCTACGAGCACTCTACGGGATTCTGCCGGACTCTACGGGACTCTACGGGACTCTACGGGACTCTACGGGACTCTACGGGACTCTACGGGACCCTACGGAACTCTACAGGACTCTACGGGACTCTCCGGGACTCTGCGGGACTCTACGGGACTCTACGGGACTCTACGGGACTCTACGGGACTCTACGGGACTCTACGGGACTCTACGGGACTCTACGGGTCTCTACGGGACTCCACGGGACTCTACGAGACTCCACGGGACTCTCCGGGAGTCTACGCCGGGACTCTCCGGGACTCTACGAGACTCTGCGGGACTCTACGGGACTCTACGGGACTCTACGGGACTCTACGGGACTCCACGGGACTCTCCGGGACTCTACTAGCACTCTACGGGACTCTACGGGACTCTACGGGACTCTGGACTCTGCGGGACTCTCCGGGACTCTCCGGGACTCTACGGGACTCTTCTGCACTTAACAACACTCAACGGCACTGTACGGCCTGCGATAAGGCTCGGTAAGATTTGAAAATGCGCGAAAACTTTCAAAAACACTCGAAAACGATTGAAAAATGCTCGGTAACGCTTAAAACGGTCGAAAAACGGTCGAAAAACCCTCGATAACCCTCGAATACGCTCGAAAACGCTCGAAAAACGCTCGAAAATGCTTGAAAACTCTCGAAAAACGCTCGATAATGCTCGAAAACACTCGAAAACGCTCGAAAAACGTGTGAAAATGCTCGAAAACGATCGAAAGCACTAGAATATCACTCGATATCACTCGAAAACGTTCTGAAAATGCGTAAAAACGCTCGAAAACGCTCTGGAAATGATTGAGAAATGCTCGAAAACTTTCGAATACTATCGAAAAACGCTCGATAACTCTAGTAGGGAAATGTAAAAATTATACGCAAAATGACTCGGCTTATATCCGCAGTTAGGTAAGCCTCGGGAGGATTTTTCGCAGTATTCGACTCTCACGCATACTCGTCGAGTGTAGCGCCGAACGCACATATACTCAACATCTCGACCCGTAGCTTGGCGCTTGGCTGGTTGTGACGCGCGAAGATTTCTAGGAGCGATCGCACTCATGCAGATTCGCTGGATGAGAGTTCCGTATGCGACACCGACGCGTGCCCCAAAACTCCGCATCACGTCGACGCGCCACGAGGTTCTTCCCTTACCATAAAAAGCGAACAGTGTTGGTAAGCGTAGGTAAGCCACCACCGTCAACTACCGTATGGTATTACCATCACGAGTCCGTGAGCTGCCAACGGCGACTGGTAGATGGTACCGCCATCGCGAGTGCGCGAGCTCCTATCAGAAATTCGTTGCACCGCCCTTGGGGGCAAAAAACGGTGAAAACTAACGTACGAAATCAGAGTTCCGCACAGGTATCTACCACACGATCCTGCCCGTGAGCAATCTCCCAACTCATCTCTGGAAATATATGGATTTTAGAATCCTTACCTGTTCTAGTTGGCAGCATTTGCTATAGGTCACTTTAAGTTGCACAGAATACCACTCCTTAAATTGAAGTACTCTATGCCATGTGACGAGCGCCAAAGTTTGCAATATGGCCCAACGGCGTCGTGTCCATTTGCGCGATTTATTGAAATAATATTATTAAACAGTAAACTGACTGTTATGCATTTGTGATAAAAACTCTTCACCGAAAGATGAGCAATCTTTTGTGAGAGTGTATTTTGTACAGTTTATATAATAGTGTATATGATAGCCTATATAATAACGGACGATCAGGAAACTCAATTTCCACCTTTGTGAGCTTTCCTTTTAAACATGGGTATTACCGGCTTGATTCCTTTTTTAGAGAAATCCTCCAAGCGAGGAAATATCTCTCAATTTTCTGGTGGATCTGTTGCTATTGATACATATTGTTGGCTACACAAAGGTGCTTTCTTCTGTGCCGATAAACTCATAATGGGTCAACACACGGATGCGTAAGAATAATCTCACTGTTCTAAATATCCATCAGTTGGAAGATTGATAATAATTGTTGTGGTTTCTTTTTAGACACATTAAGTATTGTATGAAGTTTATAGACATGTTGCTTGCAAATAAAATCAAACCAATCTTGGTTTTTGACGGGCGGCATTTACCTGCCAAAGCAAAAACAGAAACAAAGAGAAGAGAGTAAGTTTGATGAGTATAATAACTCTAATTATATGTTAGACATCGTGTATATGTAATAGCTCTTAATCTGTAGATTACGACAAGTAAATCGACAAAGAGCAGCCGAGTTAATGAAAATGGGACAAATTGCAGAAGGAAGAAACTTATTAAGGAGGTCCCTTGATATTACTCATGAGATGGCTTTAAATCTGATTAAAGAATGTCAAAAAAGAAATATAGATTGCATTGTAGCTCCATATGAAGCTGATGCTCAATTGGCATATTTAAATACTTCTGGTATTGTTGATGTTGTTATTACCGAAGACAGTGATTTAACATTATTTGGCTGTAAAAAGGTAATGGAGTTTTAATCGTAACTTTTTACCAATTTTACTTCACCGTCCATTTATCTTATGTGTATTTAATTGTTTTAGATATTTTTTAAAATGGATGTAAATGGTAATGGCGTTCTAGTTGAACAGAACCGGCTTCATTTAGCAATGGGTTTACGTGTGGAGCACTTCGATATGGATAAATTTCGTCACATGTGTATATTATCTGGGTGTGATTATTTAGCATCATTGCCAGGTATTGGACTCAGCAAAGCATGCAAGTTCATTGTTAAAAATACAGATTCTGATATATGCAGGGTTAGTATACATTTTTACATGTAAATAAGTACATTGTGTTAATGTCATATCAGCTTATAAACATTTTTTAGGCTCTTACACGGTTAGCATCGCATCTTAATATGAAGTCTTTGAATGTCTCTGAAGAGTATCGAGATGCATTTATACTAGCTGTTATTACGTTTAAGCATCAGTTGGTATTTTGTCCTTTACAAAGAAAACAAGTACGTTTAAATCCACCTCCTTCACACATTACCAAGGAGCAATTGCATTACGCTGGTGATTTATTACCTGAGGATGTTGCATGGCAAATCGCACTTGGCAACTGTGATCCCTTTACATTGAAGAAACTTCATAACTTTGATCCAGATAATGTACAGGTAATTAATTGATACATTGCAATTTATATATTTATTCAAAGTAAGGAAAACTGAAGTCATAGCCTTTATCATGATTGATATATTTTCCAGAATACACAAAAAATTAACCCATGGAAAGAAAATAATGTAACGAATCATACAAGTATTTGGAGCAAAGATTACAAATTAAAATCACAGGAGATTACCATGACAGAATCTACAACAGTATGGCCTAACACGTTTGCTCGAAAAATGACTCTAGAAACTAAAAGCCTAAAAATGGCAGTTACCCCAAGAAAACGTAATTACCAAGGTATGCACATTTTTATTTTTATGTTTTATAATTGGATTATGACAGTTTAACAACATTTAATTCAAGAGTACTCACGTGTTTCAAAATAGTTTTCCCAAAGCAGTGTTACATCAGTAATATGTAATATTTGTTTTTTAGAATTCCAAGAATTATCTAAAGAAGATCTTTTAAAAATGTATAGCTATAATGATTCAAATACTGATACAAATTCAACTGAAACAAGTAAAAGCCCAAGTGCTACCTTACAATCTCCTCCTGAAGAAAAAATAATTTTATCACCTGTATTAAGTACTCGCCACAATCCATTTTCTGTTAAAAAACAGTTTAATGAAACATCTCCCGAATTAATATGTAAAGAGCAAAGACGAATGAAATCCAGACGCTTATTACGATTCAAACCTACTGTGATAGATGAAACTGCTGTGCCGCAAAGTAAATTTTTTGCAAAACTTTCTGAAATCAAAGATATTGACAACGTAGACAATTCACTTACATTGTGTAACAGCTTCGAGAATATCATTCATGGAAGTGACGATTCAAAAGAAAATGATAATATGGAATCTGATATCACAAATGCAGAAATAAATACTAAGATGACTCCTGCAGATAAGCGAATTAGAAACAATGAAGCTAATGCCTACTGCAGTCAAGAATCGTATAGTAATAGCAATAGCGAACCAGAATCACCTCTCCCAACAGATTCCGATAATTTTACCATGACAAATACACTCCACACGAGTATTGACATAACAAGTGTTATTGAAGAAAAAACGTCAAGAGAACCTAGTCCATGTTCAGAGGTAGAACATGCATTACAAAGTACCCATAGATATACTTTACGTAGTAGTTTTTTCAAATGGACAAATACAAAAACTGGGACACCAAATAGTGTTTCAAAAGCCAAAGTGGTGAAACCTAATTCTAAGGTTTGTTTATTTTTATTAATAAAATTAAAGTACATCTGCTCAATATAATGTACAATTATTTTTAGCGAGTTTCGAACAATGATAAGCTAGGCAAAAAGGCACCTCTCAAGAGGAGTGTTTCCTTGGAACAGGGTCAACAAGGTCTTCTAAGTATGTATGGCTTCCAAAAAAAGTAAGTTTATTTTATCTCTACTTTTAGTCATGTATTATTCTATAGCAGAGATTGGATGAAAAATTGTATTTGTTCTTATTTCAGGACAGCCTTAAAACATTAATAAGTGAAATATATAAGACTAGCGCGATTTTTATATCGTTGCAGGCAACTATGATCAGTAGTTTTATTCTGGATCCTTATACAGGCGTTACTATTTTTTTACATTGTTTGTATATACTACGCAAAATATGTGCTTTTTCAAGCGTATCATTTTTTGAATCTATCAAAAAATATTGAAGATTCTATAAAGAGCTTCTTTCACCGCAATTTAAGTTACTACCCGTCAGGTAAACTATTATTTGTAAACTTTTTGTAAAAGTATATGATCATGTGACATATGTCACCTTGGACTATGAGACTTGTCTCGTATAATTGTGGATGAATTTTTTTTGTATAAAAAGTAGCAAAATGAAAACAGTTCAATTGTAATATTACCCCTTTACAATTCTATCAGTAGTAAATTCTCAAAATAAAAAATAACTGAAGACTTACCGCACCGATCTAATCTTTATACATGTTACAACTGGTACATACATTATAAGCGTTATTAAATCAACTTTAACAAGCACTATGAAATAATCCAATATTTGTATCTGGATAACTTAGGCATTTAAGCATAATCCTCTTTTTAACGCTCAATACTCTGAGATAGTATTTCATTCACAGATCCCAAATTTTGTTGCGTACGAGACTGTTTATATTTCTCGAACTGTACACAATTGAAATATAACTATGCTTACGATAGTAGTAGATTTATTTTAAAGAAAATTAATTGCACATTTACGGTACAATACGATGCATAATGTTGCTGCAATGTTATGTTTATATGAAAAGTTATTAATTTGGATAAGTCTAAAATTATTAAAAAATATCCCCTACGTATTACACGTTCTTCTAGTCATATATTCATAATTAAATAATTATGTCCAATTTGCAAATATGTTACAAATCTAGATCATACAAACCCGTTATCAAACTATTTAGCACAGTCTAACCGTATTAAAGGTGTCTGATCAATTCGATTCGAGTTATTACAAAATTACACATTTTTTGCTATAAAAATAACATGTTTCTCCGACTCGTCATTCCACGCTAGGACTCATTCCTACTGGCAACTGAAAAATGTCTTCATAAAAGTAAAAATAGCATAATAATTAAGCGGTAGAAAAATCTCGTTTCCTACCTATCTAAACACCTCCGGTTTTCATAAATTAAGAATGACTGAAAAGCAATTAAACGTCTATCTCGCGCGTATCACTCGTCGTTATGGAAGTATATCGAACCCTTCTGCTAACGGAATCGATCACGGGGTCAAGTCTTTTCCGAACGGCAGTTCTTTGAAGATATATCAGGGCGCAAATAAGAGCGACTAGGATCGTAATTAACAGATAAACTGCAGCTTTTGTTCCTCGATAGCTCGATGCTTTCAGCTTGGTTATGCAGCCTTTGATAGTGTGAAACTCCTGAACACTTCCGTCTATTGAAGTGCAAATAATATTGAGCAATATCTTCACGTTGATCAGTTTAAATGTAAGGTCGGCATACTTACTTTGATAGCATCGTAGCAAATCCTTATTGCGAACGAATATTTTAGTTCGTTTCATCCACTCCAAGAAGGGATTCAGCTTACAAGTACACTCGAACGGATTGCCAGAAAAATCCACCGTCACAGATTGATTGTGTTTTGCAAAAGTGTCCAGAGTGTGCAAATCTCGCTCAATGACTGTCGAGAATTTATTTCGTTGGAGGTCCAAAAATCTCAGCTTGTGAAGGCAGGACAGATTGAAATGCAACTTAGTTAGAGCATTGTCTCCGAGGTGGAGGTCCAAGAGATTAGGAAGATCGCAGAATACATTCGAATCCCGAAACTCCGATATGTTATTTTGCTCTAAGTGCAGCTTAATCAGCTGAGTAAGATTGCTGAAAATATAGCAACATAGGGTGAAATGTATTAAACCAAAATACATGTTGAAATTCATACTGGTTTCTAACTCAGTGATTTAAACGAGATTTTGTTAGAGAGTAGAGCCACTGGAAGGTACTAAAAATAAATGTTCAATATTTTCTGATACTCTGCAGGGGTAAAATAAAAATATATAATATATTAAGCGGTTTTACCGACTCCTTACCTATTTACAAAGATATCGTGGAGAGTAGCAGCTAGATCCTGCGGTGATCCAGTGTCAAAAGCGTGTGTCAAGTGAAGTTCCAGGAGAGATACAAAATTTGAAAATATCCTAGGGTGGCTTCTTTCGGGATCCATTGTAAGTCTATTATAGTTGAGGATCAATCGTTCTACGCGTTGCACGTGGTGGTACGACTTTCCGTGAATCTCGCGGATTTTATTGCTGGACATGTCTATGACCCGCAATTCTGGAAGCGAATCCAAAGTGCCAAAAACGTTCCAAGGCAGCACATCAAGAGAATTGCCGGTGAATATGAGGACCTTAAAACCAACAAAATGATTAGCATGTAGCCAGGAGCGACATTGACAAAATCTGCTTATCATCTTAGAACTCATATTTATATTTAAATGTACCATTGGAATAACATACTTGCGTGTTATTAGGCAAATGGGACAACGGTTTGGTGTTGTAAAATCCAGAATTCGTACAGTTCACCACGTGCTGATGGTGTCCATCGTAACAAGTCGTGTAGCAAAGGCAACGATCTTGGAAAGCAGGTCCACAATTCAATCTCGCCGTTTCATTTGTCTCCAGACTATGCCAATTCGGATTATTGCAGTTATTCGGCACTTGGGCAAAGCAAGACAGTACCAAGGCGCATATTGAAAAAATTAATTTCATCTTGAATCTAAAGATCAAAGAAAACCATGTATCACCTCTAAGCTCACCGTTAATATTCCTTCAATCAAGTATATACGTACTGAGAGCCCTGTACAATTAACAGTTGTTTCTCATTCATTCACTGCACGCATTTAATTTCCTATAAATTTCCTTCCTTTGCGAAATACCACATTGAAATCATTCATAACTTTTTATTTAACCACTGACTCGTAAATAAATTCGAAGCGAACGAAAACTATGAAGTTCGGATACAATTTTTCCGTATTTTCTTACGCGCGCGTACAGATTGGGACTATTCTAAGTGCTTGTTCCTTTCTATAAAAGCAGCGCCGGCATCTCAGCGACATCCGAAACCCTCATTTCTTTTTCCTTTTCTCGAAGCTGCCGTGCCACGGCGAGCATTCAGAAAAAGAAATAGAAGAGAAAATAGAACGGTTCCTTCGTCGCTTTATGCTCCCCGTAATTTCCATTTCATTGTACAGCCCACATACACGCGTACGAGTCGCGGAATTCACGAGTTTAAAAAATCTTCCCAAGCACTGCAGCACGATTACTCACGCAGAAAATAAACCACTCCGACTCCAATTCCTTGAAAATACCGGCTCGATTTTTGTCGACTCAGCGAGCACCCGAAGCAACGATATTTCCCATGGGATAAAATCCGTAATCGGCTCTGGGCTCCTTCCTGCGTACGTAAATATAAATCACTCCATCCCCAAATAACTTCCCTAAAACATGGGGAAAATTCCTAGATGATCCACAATTTTCGCCTCGTATCATAAGCTTTACCTCGAGCATAGAACAATTCAAATAGACATTAACTCTACGAGTACCAAATGAAAAAAAAAAATGTCATATAATAAATTTACAGCTACCATTGTAAACGCAACTAAACCCAAATTATATGTACAACATAAGCCTATTTAATACCGTAGACCGATAACACGTCCAGTTGCCGGGCAGAAGATCATAAAATCAGTTAACTATTTGAGAATATCAATGTACCGTTAATCACGTCATCGACGCTATAACAATTACCGTTACATGGCGTTAAGATGAACCGTGGCCACGATCGATTTACTAATTTCTAATGAATCACCCATCAGCTGGAGACTCGTATTTGAAGATCATTCGCAAGATCACGGCCACGTGCAATCTGCCCTCCACTGGGCAGCAACCCGCCTTAAATTACCTTGTCCTTCCGTCATTAAAATCGCCCTCAATAACTTACTCGCATCAACTAGACCATTTTCCCCGGGGCAGCAGCGTGCCTTACGTCGCATTCAGGGATTTCCTCCAAGCGGTACATTCCCGTGGTAAAAATAACGATGTCACCCGCGTTACTCGTGCCGAATACCGGAGCTCGGATCAGCAAGAAATCTCTCCAAGGCGCGAGGCTCTTGCCAACCGGTGAGGCTTAAAACGCGTTTCCTTGGCCCTGTGGTCCGACTTCTGGGTCCGGCTTCGGTCTTACCGCACTCGAAGTCCTAAAAAAAGTCGACTGGGTTTAAGAACGAGCGCGGGACTGTCACCGTGACGCGGTCGCGTCGCCGAGCGCGCGTCGTCGAGAGGGCCGCGCCGAAGACGACGCGACCGCGAGAAAAAGGACACGCGGATGCGCATAGACCGGGCGGACGATTGATCCAGGCCGAGCGAAATCTTTCGTAGGATCTAACGAGTCGATTTTAGCGAATACCGGGTCCCTTTGCGGGCTGCGGCGCGTTTTCTGTCACGGTGAGACACGCCGCGACGCAACGGCATTGCGCTATATGGCCGCCGCGGCCTCAGCGCCAGGCGCACCTGTGGCACCCCACCCTGGACCCAAATTTCCTTTCTCCTCCAATCCACCTCCACCGAGCCTCGGTTCCTTAGTCATCTCTGCTTTTATTTCTATGAAGGTGTGCGCTTCGAACGTGCATTTCAACAAGGTAGACGAAGGTGTGCGCGGGCCCGCGCCCTTGTGGCTCGGACCCGCGTCAGCCTACCTGTTGCGTTCGAGTTCATTCATGCCAAATGCGGACTAATCCGAGAATCCGTGCAGTTTTGAGGGGAGAATGAGAGTCAGCTGATCGCTCCTCGGCAGACCAGGCTTTGATAAAGCGTCTCTGCCAGCCGAGCGGGAAATCCGGTAAGACCGGAGTAGAATGGAATTTAACAGTTCAGGTTCAAGGAATACCTGATTTTTTTTCTTTCTCTACTTTTTCTACCGATGATTAAAGGAAAAAATGCGAAATCTAATCACTGTCGACCTCATGTATTATGTGGAATTTATTCAAATTAACAGTTCCGAACTTCTGTGTTCCGGATTAACGATTCAAGGCAATTTAATGCACATGTGTTTTTTAAGGAACTGGAAGTAGTTCATGGAATGCAGAACAATTTAATACGGATATTCTTTGCCGGAATTGGAGGAAATTAAATGTTAATTAGATTAGATTTAATGTTAGAAATATTATACGAGGCGTTATTTGATGAACTGAACCCTAGATATCATAACGCATTGTATTGAAAAACTGCTAAGAAATAAACACGTGGAACTGTAGGAGGTAGTTTGCAAAATATGTTGCAATGTTATTTATAGACATCAAGTAGGGAATGAATTATTTGGGACAATAACCCCGTTTTCCTAAAGACGTGGTAAATCGGCGTTATGCCTGACCTACTTTACATGCTGAGGTTCATTCACCATTTAAGTTGACTCTAGCTTAAGATCTTATCGGACGTGTTCCTACATAATACCTATTTTTTTTCCTTCATTTAACCAGTCTCTAAACACTACTACTTTCATCCAAGAGAGAAAAACGAAGGAAAGTAGTTTTGGCACCGAGACGTCATCTATTAGCATAGCTCTTTCTTCGTGTCTGTAGATATTGTTTATATACGAAATAGTAGTTTACATTGTAAATATGTATGTTTACTTACATCTATATTTATTGCTCTTACAGATATTTCTTACAAAATTATAACGAATTTTGTTATCAACAATTGTACACGTATATTAATTCAACATACCAGAGGGAAAGGAATGAACATTCCACCTGTAGCCGTTATTTTCTAGCCCCTGTAAAGAAAATGAGAAGATTAAATTATACATTTAATTAACTTTAAATTCTGAAATGTCATGGAAATAAATAGATGCTGAAAATACAAAATGACAGTTGAAATGATACTACTTGTACCCAACAATATTTTTACCTATACCAAGTCTTAGCCGTTTTGCTTGATCGAGTTTGGACAGAGTCTTTGATGGATGAAACATGGCAGGCATTCTATTGAAAAACTTGTGGGCAGGAGTTACAACAGCCTTATCCAAAGCAGGCCAAGGTGTAATAGGTATTGTATAAAAAGTCTTATCTGCGTACACTGCATTTAAATCAAGTCCATTTTTCCTGAAGACAAAATGTTATCAATTTTGCAGAAAATACAGTAATGCATTTTAATTCACTATCCCATAGGATTGGTATTTATGAAGCATACATATTTACTTGTAACGGATCTTAATCTTACTAGTAATAAATGAATTACCCCAAATTATCGGTCTCTTTATAAATTATGGCGAAAGATCCATTTTGTATTGTATGTCTTATAAGATATCGGCCAGTAGTCAGACTTTGTAACTCATCTATTATATTATATAGTAATGCGAGTACGCTTTCAACTTGTATATTATACAATCTCTTGATCTCATTATTTACTGATACTGCGGAACGTCGTTCAATGTGCAATACTTCCGACGTGGCTGCAGCAAGGCGTACTGCAGCATACAGAAAAATATTGCATAGGGTATTAAATGTAATCGAATCGACAATATTGAACGTTAGACCATGCGGCTCATCTACTTTTAAATATATAATATATGTAACAACCTCTGATTAAGGAAGCTTCTGGTTGAAAAATAAGAGATGCCCACTGTTTAATAGCTTCTTCCAGTGTTATGGCTTCTGCCCCAAGTGCAACTTGATGTTCCAATTTTGGAGCTATTATCACAGGCTGCTCATTTCCATCTGGCAATCTCTATAAACGAACATTAAAATTATTCATTAAATTGCAGTGTTTATAGTAACAATTTACAATTATCAATTGATTTTCACATAATAGTTTTACTGAAATCGTTTTACATATTTTACGTACCTCGATTCCATCTACAGATGAGCGAATTAATATTTTATAATCTTTCCCACAGGTTTTCATTAATTCATTTTTGTCTTGAGTAAATCCTAAAGTGAACAATTTATAACACAGATTGTGCTTCACATTTAATGTATCAAAATTAATTGTTCCAGCATTTAAGCTGTAACTTTTTTTGAAAGGTTTTTGAACCATATTATTTGATTCCATTTCATCATTTGATTCAGCTTTAATTGTATTTTCAGTAATCTTATTTACATTCTTGTTCACATTATGTGAATTCGGGTGTACCGATAAATTCGAGAATGCTGTGACGTTGTAATCTTGTTGTTCACTTTTAAAATCACTGTCTGTTTTTTTCGTACACATTATATTTTGGAATTCTATCTCTTCCTTCTCCAATTTCAGCAAATCACTTGAATGTATATCACCAAATATATTTTCATCCTCAATGCACTTATCAGGTGAACTGTAAATGATCGTCATTAAGTAGTTCTATAACATTTTGAAACATTCATATCGAATACAATATAAATATGACCGAATAAAAAGTATTTACAAGCATTTACTTACTTTGTTGAAGTCAGATTATCAATCTGACAAAACTGTGCTTTGACAAGATGTTTATAAATGCAAGCATTCTTTTGTGGTATCATCTTTGAATTCGGTGGGAGCGGCTTATCGATGTACACTATCTTCTTACCGCATTGCTCTCTTATAAGTACTGGTAAAATCCAAGAAGTGGAGGATTTTTGATCAACATTATTTGCTAGACATTTTAAACCACTCATTGATATAACTAAGTCTACTTGATGAGTTTCTGCTAAATTTTCACAATTATGATCCTGACTTACAAGTACATTAGAGGGCATGTTCATTCTGGTTTTTTTTATATTAGAACCATATGCTTGCATCATTACTTGCTTACTTAACAAAAAATAAGGTTTATTTGGCTCTGGTAACTTAAGACGTGGAGAATTCCCCTTAAAATGAAAAACACTTGTTTTTAGCTATTGACAGTAAAACCTTGAAAATATTTCCCACTTACAGTAATTTTTCATACCTTTTCTAGACAGGTACTATGAAAATTAATTTCAATATGTTTGTCGGAAATGAAAGCAATGCTGCCTGTCTCAGAATAATACCTAGGTAATTCTTTAAGATGTTCAATATTCCTTTTCCAGCGAAGGTTAATGTAGTTCTCACATAAAATTTTTAGTTGAGAACTGTCCCAATTTCTCTTAGCAAACTCTAAAAACTCATCTTGCTCTTTTGATATTGCAGGCGTTAATTTCTGAGAAGAAAAGGTATCTTATTGAATATTCTAAAATGCCAAATAAACAAGCAATTGAAGTGTTAAAGTGATTAAATTACATATTTATATAATGCATTATATCACTGAATTTGACATTTTGGTAATACTTACTCACCATATAAGTGTTTAATTCCTGCCTCGTTGTTTGAGTCACTTCTGGTTTCTCAGAACCAGAAAACCGAAGTATAACTCTAAGACATAAAGCATGTTCATCGACATTTAAAGTGGAGTATCTTGGAAATTTAAAGTCACATTTTACAACTCCAGGTACATAGTCTTTTTTAGACTCTTGAGGCATGGTAGCATCATTTAACATCTTTCCTATTGAGCGCTTTTTGTTATTCGACACATTAGGTGTTTCTCCTTCTGTAATGTCTTTCTTAAAATTGACTTCCATCTCTTCTAAAGTTTCTTCCGTGACATCACTATCGCTGTCACCCATGGCAAATGGATCTTTAAATTCACCTAACATGATTTTGTACATTGTACCTTCCCGTTTTAATCTGTCTTCATTAATGAATACATTATCAACAATGTCATCCAATGCAGGAGTCCTGTGAAATGTTTTAAATATTTATTAATTTCAAATAATTAGAGATCATTTACTGCCTCTAGAATCTGTACAATTTAGATGAAACAAATTTTAAGTGCATTTCCAGTATATGATTGACTGCTACTATGCGAAGTATGAGACCGATCATTTTTATAACTTACCAATCGATATTCAGAAATTCCTCCATGTCTTTAAATATCTCGAGTTTTACTGATTAAATCAACTCATCTTAAGAATTAATATATTAATTCGGTGAAAAACCGGCACGGTGACGATCAGTGACGATTGAATACAAATTCAAGGATGAACTCAAACCAAAGATTATAATGTTTCATGCGTGACTGACAACTCTCTAGTAAAACCCAGATATTTTTCAGCAGCCATCTGATGAGCGCTTATAGAACTAAAAATGAGCCGACCTAAATGGGTCTAGGCGTTTATTACCAGCTGTTATTATGTACATATTTTTGACGAGCGCGCTTACTTCTCGCACTTCCATCTCACGTGAGTTTATTCGCCGAGTTACGTATTCCCTATATGAAAGAACGAGATCACTAGCACTTCCGGTCTAGTAATATTGAAACAGAGATGAGTTGCGAGATTGCTCACGGGCAGGGTCGCGCGATCGCATCCTGTGCTGCCCTCTGATTTTATACGTCAGCTTTCACCGTTTTTTGCTCCCAAGGGCGGCGCAACGAATTTCTGGTAGGGACTCGCGTACTGGCGACGGCGGTGCCATCTACCTGTCGCCGTTGGCGGCTTACGTACTCGCGATGGTAATACCATGCAGCTGTTGACGGTGGTGGCTTACCTACGCTTACCGACCCTGCTCGCTTTTGATGACAAGGGAAGAACACTCGCGGCGTCCTCTTTGACTTTACCCTTCGCTTACCTTATTTAAATTAAAGGAAGGTGAAATTTGGCCAAAATTTGTTAGGCCCGAATACCTGACCACGAGTCTCACATGTGGTTGTAGGGCAAAGGGTTAAAAGAATATTAACACATGACTGAGATCTCGGAGAGATCTTGAGATCAAAATGAATTGAAAAACTGGATGATCGTCAAAAATGTCTAATGCATAGTTGATTAATACATATGAAAATTGGTTACCCGTGCAGCCATTCGCGAATCGATGCTTGTCTTGTATTTCCGTGCAAGTCGAACCATCGATTCTCCAGGCCCACCACGAGGAGGTTGCCGCTCAATGAGGCCCGTCTAGGAGCACTAAAACATCAACCTAGACCCCCATCCGGTTGCTTGAAAAACGCTCGATAACGGTCGAAGAACGCTCAATAATGCTCTAAAAACGCGTGAAAACACACTAAAAACACTCGAAAACGCTCGATAACGCTCGAAAACGCTCTAAAATCGCTTGAGAACGCTCGAAAACACTCGAAAACGCTCTGAAAATGCGTGAAAACGCTCTGAAACACTAAAAACGCTCGATAACGCTCGAAAACACTCGAACAATGCTCGAAAAACGCTCGATAACCCTAGTAGGGAAATGTAAAAATCATACGCGAAATGACTCGGATCCGCGGTTAGGTAAGCCTCGGGAGGATTTTTCGCAGTATTCGACTCTCACGCATACTCGTCGAGTGTAGCGCCGAACGCACACATTCTCAACGTCTCGACCCGTAGCTTGGCGCTTGGCTGGTTGGGACGCGCGAAGATTTCTAGGAGCGATCGCACCCACACAGATTCGCTGCATGAGAGTTCCGTACGCGACACAGACGCATACCCCAAAGCTCCGCATCACGTCGACTTCGAGGCAACAATGTACTTAATAGTAGTAGATAAGTAGATAAAGTCAAATGGAGCGTCACGAGTGTTCTTCCCTTGCCATCAAAAGCGAGCAGTGTCGGTAAGCGGAGGTAAGCCACCACCGTCAACTGCCGCATGGTATTACCATCACGAGTACTTGAGCCGCCAACGACGACAGATAGATGGTACCGCCATCGCGCCTATCAGAAATTCGTTGCGCCGCCCTTGGGGGCGAAAAATGGTGAAAGCTATCGTACGAAACCAGAGGGCAGCACAGTATGCGATCGCACGATCCTGCCCGTGAGCAATCTCCCAACTCATCTCTGTCTCCTAACTCATCTCTGTTATAGACTGTTATAGACAACAGTAGCGCGTTGATGATTGCTGATGATAGCTACGAAACCTGCGAAACATGAGAAATGAACATTGTTAAACGTTCTTGGAGACCGTCGAATTAATTTGATAATATTTAATTAATGTAATATTTAATTAATCAAAGTTAGTAAAGAATTGAACAAAAATGTTTCATTTTCCACTAAAATCTCTTAGGATGCTGTTGTCTGCCACGACAGAGTCATTTGTTCAACAGACAAGAGTAAGAGTATATAATTTTTAACCTTGTTCCTTTTACACTTCATACTATTCTTTTCTCACAGAATACATACATCTTGAAACGGAAGTGGCCACCAGGACTACACAAGAAGGACAAAATACCTGAACGTCTTAGAGCACGACACTTCGTCTATGAACTTATAGAAAACACAGATTTACGTAAAAGCAAACCAATCGATATTATTCTTAAACAGTATGTGAAAGGTGTGGGCCAGAAAGGAGAGCTAATTACCATGAAACCGAATATAGCATATAATGAATTACTACTACCAGGATTAGCCGTATATGCCACTCCTGAAAATTTGGAAAAATACAAACAAGACACCATCATAGAAAAACCTAAGTTCAGTTCCCCTTATGTTGAGCACTCATTGAATATATTATCAAAATTGTGTTTGAGGGTACACATGTCGTTGGATAATCCTTGGACATTAGAAAAATGGCACGTAAAGTCTGCCTTTCGCAAAACTTCTTTCGTCGTCCCCGAAGATGCTATAACCCTACCCGAGAAACAGATATCAGGACCCGACTTATCGATCGACGACAAAGAATTTGTTGTTACGGTCACGATAAATAATACAGAACAAGCTAAAGTAAGATGCAAGATACACCACTGGACTGCAAATCCTGATACAGTATGGCCCAATCGGCTCGATCCTTTCAAATTCGTCAATGAACCAATTTTCCCAGAAGATAAACCCATTCTGGATTCTCTTACGACTTGCCTGAAAACATCAGAGGAAGCCGGAACATAATTTCTCTTATGCATCGTATTTCAAATAAACTTTAGTCATTTAACGAGTCAATTATTACTTTATTCGATCCTGCTTTCAGTGCGTGAAATTCAATTGGAACGCGTGGAACAAGCGATGAGTACCGTAAAAAAACGCCTTGGTGTGAGAATTTCCAGCTATCCAACACCTCGGATGCCGACGATCGAAGTATTCCCATCCACCAAAAAGAATATCCCCCACCGACTCCTGCAGGAAACAATCGATAAATCGAAAAGGAACCGCAACGTCCGTTGCTACGCGCGATGCCGAGAAACGTCTCGACTTCGCTAAGGGGGGGCTACTATTTCTAAACTAAGTAAATTCCATGGTTCCATATCATTTCACTAATGATCAACCGAGAAGATGACCAGCCCGAACGACGGGGAGAAACGCTTCGCTTGGGATGATATCTATGAAGGGCTGCTGCTATTGGGGTAAAACTTAGTCAAAAGTTGTATCCGCGAGCATTACTACATCTGCTCTTGCTTTCCATCAGGATCCCGAAACCGGAAGAATCACGGATCGAGGGCCGGAGAAAGCGAGGGCACAGGACGCGCGTCTCCGAGATATACTGTCCCCACGCGCACCTGATCCTCAACTTCCATGAGACCTTAAGTCCCGGCGAAAAGGTAAACACCCGCCGTTGACCTGCTGAAATTAACCCTCGTTCGTTAAGGTGACATGAAAGTAACGTCAAAGGGGTCTCGTTTATGAAACTTCTCCGAATGTAGTGTACCGAATCGTTTCAAGCTTTGCAACGTGAATATGGAGACTATAAGAAAGTTCCGGACGCCCATGGAATTTCATTTTTTTTTTTGTATAAATTTGTTTACAGAAGTTTTTAAAATTCTTTATAAAAAATGAAATGTTATGGGTGTTAGAACCTCCCTTATAGCCTCCACATTCCTCTTGAAAAATTTGAACCGATTCGGCCCACCCAATTCGGATACAAGTTTCATGAACGATTGACCCCTCGGACGCCACCTTGCCATCCCCTTAACCCGAAAATTCAGATCAGATTCAGGAAACTCTACTCCAGGCGAGTCTCGCCCTCCGAGTCTAACGTCGTCATCCTGCAAGACGTAAAGGACCTGGTCATGTACCTACTGGTGACGCCCGTTAGCGTGCAGTTCATCAACCTGTTTCACCTGCCGATAACGGACCGCTTCCTGCGGGCCCTCCTGGTGTACTTCCAGTACTACGTAGATACATGGGAGGAGCTGGCACGGGAGCGAGCAGCCGCAGCGCGCAAAGCCCCCAACCCAAGGGCCGGCGGAAGTCGCGCGGCCCGTGCTGGGGAGCTCCGCGCTCTGGCAGTCGCCCTCGGCAGGGAATACGCCGAGTTGCTGCTGGGCTGCGGAGAAACCGCACCGTACCACCACGCGGCAGCGGGCCGTAGGAATCCCCACACGCGCGTTCAGTCCCAGGGTGAGAAGGACCTTAGGATCTTCGAGGTCCTACTGGGTGTGGCGCACCGCGTGGTATGGGTGGCCCTGCAGCGCAAGTACTACAACCCTATCGGTTCGTTCCTTCATCTCCGCCCGTAGCACACGGTCCTTCGCAAACCTCGAACCTTCCACGACTTTGTCGTAGAGGTGGAGCTGCACCGTTTGTTCCGGACCGATGCTTACAACATGGCGAACAGAAGAACCGGAGGGCTGGTAAACGAGGCGATTTCCGAAAACGAAGTGAGGATACTGCACGGACCGGAGATGCCTCCAAGGCGGAAGCTCCTGAGGATATCCCCCTTGATTCACAAGGTGGTCCACTCCGACTGCGACTTTCGTCTTCTTTCTCTAGGTAACGGCGTTATCCCATCTCGCCGTTTTCTTCGAGAAGAAAGGGAGAGGTCGCTATGAACTCAGGTGTTAAACCCTCGATCATAGGCTTAACCGATGTGGAGACGCGAGACCCGCGGATTCTATATCTGCGGGATGCGCTGCTGGCCGAGGAAGAGGCTCTTCCTGAACTCGGCATTAAGATCGGCATCCTGGGCCAGCCGAGGTCCGACTACGACGCCATGCTCGTGCCGAGCGAAGGGGGGGAAGAGATCCTGCAGGATCAGGATGAAGGAAAGGGGAGCATCGGGGAGAAACGGAGTTCCCGATCGGACAGACCGCGCGGGAGCGCGACCAGGGTACGCGTCTCCCCGGGTATAACAAAAGGTTAACCAGGCACCGATAGAACTTTCGCCTTTTAGCAAGGAGAGCGCGAGATTTCAAGGATGCCAGGCTTCGGGGAGGACTCGGAGGTGAGCTCGGAATTCCCGGGGGAAGCTGCAGATTCTAACTGCAGAGGACACGATGCGGCGCGCGAGGCATCCCGCAGGAAGTGGATCGCTCGGGAACTAGAGCGTCGACGGAACGAGAGATGGGATCTCAGCTCCCTCGGGACCTCCCTCGAGAGAAGGGTCGACCGGTCTAACGAAGCGACTTCCTTCTGATTGGCTGGACGTTCCTTACGTGGGAAACGGGGACAGACACACCCGAGAGCTACGAGGCAATGTAAAAAATATGCTTATTGTAATTGATACCGGCTAATCTAAGGTAGTAATAACGGTAATATGTTACAAGGACATACACGGATAGATACGGTAGAAGCGACGGACGATCATTCTACGCATCTTCGAATTCGGCATTGTCGACACCACTGTGAGTAACCATTAATTGTAACCGCTAATTACCATTAAATGTAACAACTACTTGAGACGAGGATAGTGCAAATACAATGTCAATCTCATAACCGAACCTCCGACAGGGCGACTCCTTATTACGTGTAGAATTCACTCGTTCGCCCGCATTGGCTTCGCTTAAAAGTTAAATTTGTCGGTCGACGGTTGGCCAATGCGATCGCTCCTCGAAGTGCACCGGACCGGAGTGCTAGATTAAATCTTCATATCGTTGGCGGTCCATCCGTTCGCGACCCATCGAGCGGAATGTTTCACCCCGACTCGGTCACATTTCCGAAACATCGACCTAGGAAACCGACCGCTCTTAATTAAACACTAACAAGAGTACTTTCTTCCCTTCACAATAGCAACTCCTTTAATTGCAGTTCGTATAAAGAAAAGAAACTCGACGCGACTCGACTCATTCGGCATCCGTGGACGACCTCGTCCACGACATCGAGCCAGAGCCCGACGGCCGTTCCCGTTGAGTTTAGACTGGGGCATTAGTCGATTAGCGTTTAAATAAATAAATAAGAAAAAGAGGCAACAAAATTTGGTAGGCTCGTTTTCCGGCTGGAATCGCGCGACGAGACCCTGATCGGATTTATCTCCACCAATGAAGGGTTCTGCACGCTTACGAATAATACACCGCACACTGACATTGAAACCCCTTCGTCACTTGTCGCACTGTTCTATCGGATCGTTGACTATCGTTACTTAATCATTTTCTAGATGGGTATTGTACAATGCGGATCGGGTGAAAAGGTCGATCGTTAACATCGTGACATCGATGGCAGCCTAACTAACGAGTTTGCGCCCGCGGGATGTACACCGGGGAACATGAATACCTTCCCTTCCTACATAGGCACCACCATACCAACGAGGAATACATTCATGTCCATCAGTGTACACAGACGAACGAAAATGCCCTCCTTCGATACGCTCGCAGCACTGTATCCGCAGAGAAGGCACTCGAGTCCGCCAGCATATACCGCCGAAATTAGCCTCGATAAATCCCGCAACGCTCCTCAAATTACGAGACTCCATAAACGGAACATTTGACCAAAGCCTCATCGCAACCGTTTCCCGGCGCGACTCCGCGCAGCGAAATGGTCGCGATCAATCCGGGCTTTCGATCGAACCGTTCGAAACAGAAAGACCTAAGTGTCCTCGGAAGTCTCTACCGCGTATGCAAAGGATTTCCTCGAGTTCCCAATACGTGCAACTGAAACTCCATTATAAACGATCGGACGCCGATTATCGAATCGGACGACTTACGTCTACCATTAGAACAACGCGATATGTACAAAATATGCTATAAGGCATCCAGGATCGGAGGAAACAATGTATACTGCTGAAATAGTTTACAAATTGTCTGTACAAGACTCTTAGATCCTTCTGGCTCTGGATTCCTCGATTCCCCTGGAGCTCGGCCCCGAAAACGACGTACTCGGTAACGTCTACCGACCGGTTGAAGCGACTTTTAAATTCGTCTAAAGAGCGCAAATCCTACCAACAACGCGACTTTACCGCACGGAGAGTCCCACGCGTTACGCATCGACGGCACATCGATAGCAGGCCTCCTTCTTCGACGTAGAAACGGTTGCGAATCCGCGATCGGTGTCTTCAAGCTCGAAGCGCAAATAAGATTTCGCGCGGCGAACCGATTAATCGTCGTCCACAATTGGCGCGACTCCTATCGCGGCCCGATGCACTCACTGGGCTCTTGATCGTCCATTCCTCGCGCGTCCGATTCCCAACAATGATGCGACAGTTAGTTACAGAACGTTACGTTTACCAGCACGGACACAAAGGACATTCTCGTCTCTACGTTATAAGAAACACGCTCGAGCCGTGTAAACGTCGGAGTACGTTTTAGCGAAGAGGTAGAGGCTACGAGGCGATATCCGACATGAGCTGGGCAAGCAGAGCCGGTTCCAGAAGCCCGTGGGTTTGACCCATCCGCTCCAGATTTCGGACGTCCTTGTCGACAGCTTCCAGAGCCCGCTCGAGTTCCTCCTCCTCCTCCCTCGACGGCTCGTACTCTCCGTTTCTACTCTCTGTAAGGATACGCAAGTGGTTATTCAAGGACTCTTCGCACAAGCATGCGAAAGCGACGCGAAATTACCGATAAACAGGTCGTTGAAAGCATCGGCCGGCAAGTTGTTTAGCACGTTCCCGAAGTCGTGCTCCGCAGAGTCCAAGGAAGCGAAGACCTCGTGATCCCCCAACTCGACCTTGAGTCCACCGCCTAGGTTGCCCAGGCCAAGGGAACCCAAGCCCAGGCCCAGATTCAGGTTCTGGCAGCCGGAGCTCCCTTGGGTAGCGTTCAAGTTGTTCAACGTCTTCGCGTGATGTTCGACGGAGTCGACGCGGTCGACGTAGCGGCTCTCCCCGCCCTGGATGGAGCCACCGCCCTTCGTTTCCGGTTTGCCGGAAGGCGGTCGCTTGCGCTTCTTCGGCCTGGATTTCGGCTTGGGCCTCGGCGCAGTCGGGGAGGCCGGCTTCTTGCGAGCCTTCTTTGGTTTCGACTCCTGAGCCTTCCGATGGTAGTTGTCCCGCTTTCTGGCGTGCTCCGGGCACAGGGGGAGCTCGTGGGCAACGTCGAAGACGGGCACGCAGCACTGAGTGTTGTCGCTGAACTTGGCAGTGCAGTGCTCAAAGAGCAGCTGGTCGCCGTTGAGCATGATGTGCCTAGAGCAGTGGCGCGTGCAGGGCAGAGAAGTCTGCCGACAGCCTCGGGCCCCGCAGGGCCCTCCAGCCAGCAAGGGGTCGTCCGAGGGCTCGGCCGCAGGGTTCTGGCTGATCCCCGACCCTGGTCCCTCGGCGAGGGCCCGCGCGGTCGAGAGCGGGTCCCCCGCAGCAGCCTCCAAGAGGCAGCGCGCCCGCTCGCGCAGCGGGCCCTCCGAGAGAGGCCTACTCTGGTGCAGTTGGCCCAGCCGTCGGCGAAGCTGCGAGCGCAACCGAGAGAGACGGGCTGCGCGACTCGGCGCCGCAGCCGGCTCCCCCGGGAACCAGTGCCTTTGGTAGACGGTCGTCTCGTCACCGCTCGACTCGCTATCGGATATCTCGTCCCCTGCGCGCGGGTAGTAGAGCAGAGTGTGGTCCCGGCTGGGCCGGCTCGACTTCAGCTTCCGCAGGACCTCGAGATGCCGCCGCTTGCGTCGCAGCAGATTCGAGTATCTCGACTCTGACCTGGCCCCGCTGCCCTCTGCCACCTCCAACTCGGAATCTCCATCCGCCCCTCCTCCTCTATCCGCCGCCTCCGTCACCGCCTCCACCTTGATCCTCCTCTTGATGCATTTACCTTTATCCTTGACGGCTCTGTTGTTTTGCGTCGTCCTAGCGCTTTTCGGAGGAACCGTTTTAAAGTTCCTCCCGGCCGCCGCGGCGAATGGCTCCGGCTCGCAGAAAATATACGGGTCGACGTCTTGCCGAGCTTCGGTTTTCAACAGAGCCTTCAAGCGATCGGAAAACTTCAACTTATTGTCCATGTTTGGTTTCTCGAGCACAGGGACCTTCACCTTGCGCTGCCTCGGTCCTCCCTTGTTCCACCTGCATTCTCAAATTCTTCAAGTCAACCTTCCTCCTATCTAGGTAAGATTTAGTCCACGCCGTATGCCGAGACCCATTTAACTTATTGTTATTTATTTGGAAAACATGAGAAATTAATTTCCAACATATCGTCTACGCACACGAATCAGGAGTCGGTGCAGCAATCTACGACTAGTAAATAATGATTCCATGTTGACGGTAACTCATGTATCTAGATGTAAAAAAAACTTGAATGTATATATATGGACTAATCGTTTAGACACCTTGTCTCGCTTGAAAAGAAATCGTTTAATTTGTGATCTACCAAATTATCGAAACCTGATCGATACCGACAACTCTATCCTTAACTTTACAACTCCTTCCAGGCTCAAACTTATTACGTGCACTCCTTGTCATCAGGGCATTCGACGTCGTGACTAGATACTCAAGGTATATACGTATACGTTATACCTCCGATTAAACCTTTTGTTTATAAATAGTGAGATTAACTTAATGCTACGTGGTCCGAGCAATAGGCGTAAACTAAGTCTATGGCTAGAGTAGGGTAAAAACGATCCTTGCCTAGCGTCGCAGCTTACGTCGAACATCTCGAGAGCGTATTCGACGTTATTGCTTCCTCGCATTGGGTAGTTCATCCATAGACTCGACATGCGAGGTTTTCACGCGTCTTTGGTAAGGTATAGCCATTGTCGAAACGTCCCAATGTTCCTCAATGTTTACATAAACAAACGGACTACCGACTGGTAAGACAGGTCACTGGTAAAGTTTGGTTATGTTGTCCACGCTTGGACATCGACCCTGTCGCCGTCCTCACCCGACTTGGCCGCACTTGAACTTCATCCTGTGCATTGACTTCTTTTTCCGGGATTCTTTTAGAATGCGAGACACTCTCGAATAAACCCGGACAGAATCTTCTTCGGAACTCGACGATCGGTCAAGGTTGGAACGGTCGGACGAACTTGAGTGCCGGAGGTTGCTCGGTTAACCGATGACGACGATCGAGAGATCCTTCGATCGCAAATGCGCTACACATTCAAAACTCCTCGAGGGAATTTCCGAGATAACCAGGAAGGCTACAAACTCGCGCACAAATTTCAGTCCACATCGATAATAACATCAGAAAGACATGTCAGATGCGGTGCCTGCAAAATGGCGACCACTCGTCACGCGTATGTACATTTTGAGAGTTGAGAACTCCTTCGATTCCGCAGGAATGGCGAAAAGAAAGCCAATACTTGTTAGCTTTTTGGCATCGTGCTTTTTCACCCCAACTACCCTCTACTCCTCGGCCCCTGAAAATAGACCAGGGGGTTTATATTTACTAACGAAAGAGAATGCTAACTCCTGTGTCGAAGCACGCGAGATCTAACCTCACTTCGTCGCTTGCGGATACTGTACCATAATCGAGAAACGAAGCGGCCCCAAACGATTATCTCTTTCCCTCGAGTACGACTGCTCGTCGTGGATTAATTATCGCACCGCATCTAATTATTTAAGTTGTTCGGAGCGCCAATCGACTGTTTCTTCCCCTGAAAATGGTTGGCCGTGGGTTTCGACAAAGCTCGTATCGTGCTTCGCTTGACTTCGCTGTCATCGATGTGCCACTTGTCACGCAGGTATATACATAGATACATACATACGTACGTTTTAAATCGACCGGTGCTCCGAAGATTCTCCCGCCTTTATCGTACCGCGGGATTTTTCCTTGGAAGCATAAACGAAAGAATTCCGCGTTATACGGAATATTACGAAGAAATTTTGGAAATTCGTTCCTAATGGTGAAATCAATTCAATGAGTGGGAAATTGGTTGCTGAATTCAAAACCCTGGAATTTATGGATCTCACTTTTTCCAATTCATTCATGTTTGTTCATTACTAGGAAAATATCTACTAACTTTTGATTTCTTTCAAAGAAGCAATAAGAAACTCCAAGTATAATTGATATGCTCACTTACTTGTTTAGATTTTGTTAGTGAGAATGATACATAATTTAGAGGCCCTTTTTTATCATATTCGTTCATTTTTCATTGAAGATATAAACCAGCCGATAGCAGGGTGAAGAGAAATGTTTAAAACACCAATACGTGACCGCAAATGTTTATCTTTCAACAAGACACTATACAACAAATTGTGTACACAAGACACGCACATGAGTCCTTCTTCTGGCTCGACCCATTATGTGTCGGCAGAGCCATAAATAATGGATTATTACTTATGGCTTTGTCGTTCTATTTCTGCATTGGTGTACAAATAATGGAGCAACATAAGAGATATCTTGGGTATTGGTAAAGCAATACCTGCATTAATTATTGACTGTGTAAGGATCTTAGAATGTCCTTACACAGTATTTAGTATTATTACAATGTTCTTGGTAACATCGATCGGAACATTTCCAGTTTGGAACCATTGGCGCAATGAAAGAAATGAAAACAATAAGACAAGTAAATCCTTGCCGACACGACTCTCAGTTATTTTGATATTAAATTCAAATGGTATATATACACCTTTGTTTCGTATTAACATTGCATAAAGCTTGACTATTTGTCGGCATCACTTTGAAAAAATAGACAAATTTGGGAGAGTTTAGAATATGACGATGCGTTCGCCTATTGAAAAAGATGACAAATTACGTATATACTAAATCTTATATTATAGATTTTGACAGAATCGACTATCAAAGGTATGTTCCAACCTCCACATTATCCAGACGCAATTATTTCTTTTAAAAATATTCAATATACGACACTACGCCACGTCATGTTCTAATTCCTCGAATGGATGTAATGCGTATGGCGATAACACAATTATTTCTTAAGTCCAGTTCATAGCTGAGCCAAAGGACGGTAGTTCCTTTATTATAAAAGTTATACTTGAAACTCGTCGGGAATTTGAAAATATTTTCGTTACGTAGGTATTCTCTGATGAAGTTTTTGTCCTTTGAGTACGGTCGGACGACCCTTGATGAAACCTTTTTTATTCTTGCCAATCTGAAACATCAATGTCCCAACCCCCACAACTTCAACTACGTTTCCAGATCTATCGATTCACCGTAAAGAACCGATACGAAAAAAGTTTGTATGAACGTCCCTTGATTTGTGGATCTATGCAATGGAATACTAACCTTTTTGCTAATATAATTCGTATTTCGGGGAATGGTACGCCGAGAAAGTGGTATCCTTGGTCTATTGAATTCCTCCGGTTTTTTGACCCTATGAAAGTCATCCGATTGAAGGCATGTTAATTAAAAAAAAAGGAGGAAAGCAAGAGAAGCAAGAAAGAACTAACCTGTAGATCCTAACTAGCCAGTGCTCTGTGGTATAAGCTTCTTCCAAGTAAGTCAATTGAAAGTTCTTATTTCCTATTTCAGCACTTCGTGTTCGATCGTATCCGGAAGGAGTCCTATAATCTACACGGACTTCGCCGAATCTGTAGTAGCTCAATTTATACATTAGAGAATTCAAGAGCGTTGGTGAACCTTTCGAGTCTACACGAAACTCTCCTTTTTCCGTAAAATAATCACTTTCTCTGATATCTTGAGGATGTTCACCCTCCGCGATACGTACCATCCACAAAAACTTATTGACATCATCCCCGGAATAACCAATCATTCCACCAAAAATAATTAACACGTAATCTACATCCAGAGATGTCATTATCTCATAAGCTGCACTTTCATTCGAGCTCATAGCTTTGCCTACCAATGCTATGTGAGAGTTATTCCAAGTATTGTTGTCCACGAGGGTGGTCCTGTTAAGATTAAAATCGATAATATATAATATTATGAACATTCTCACAATAACCTAACCAAAGAATATCTGGACTACATATGATTTAACTCTACCAATTACCTGTTGGCCATTCCAGCGATTTGATAACCATAGTCCCACCAACTCATAATTCTGGCATCATTAGCTGTATTTTGAGCCAGCCAGTAGTATGCTTCTCGAAAATCATCGAGTATCGATCTGCCGCCATCGTTCGTATAGGATGCAAGTACAATTGATGGGCTGGAATATGCACTACTGGTGACCCATGTACAATGAACTGTAAACATCATCAACAAAACTAGCAAGCCAACGATTACTCCGTTACGTAAATTTGAACCCAATCCATCACCACCTCCCCTAGGTCTTTCATGTTTCATTCTTCGAAGTTTTCCTGCCTTATCGTACAAAGCTCGCCCTGGGCTTCTTTCTCTTTCGTCTTCGCTTTCATCTTCACTTGCTTCTCCACTCTCACGGTCATTACGATCTTTATCTTCATCTTTGAGAAATACTTCTAAGAGCCCACTGAAGGCTACACCAGCTAAGATGCAAACTACTGGTGTCAAAGTCAACATAAGACGTACCATTACACCAGCGAAATATACGGCACTTATGGCATATAAAATCACTGAAAAGTAATTATCTAAGTTGAAATTGATTACATTAATTAACGGCCAGATCAATAATGCTTCTTACCAAAAACACGTTCATCGTTAATGCGCTTAATGCAATACCATAGTCCAACAGGAAATGTTGTGACCAAGATATGTAAATCAAAGAAAAAACTGAACCATGTTGTTGGTTGATGTTCAGAAACAGAAGCTATTATAGGAATATGAATTTTTGCATATCCAGTATCCCAAAGTGAATAAAATCGTCCGCTCCATGGAGCAACCACACCCGAATATGTTAATCCAATTAATATCATCAAAAGAAATGAAGTAATAATTGCAACTATAACTCCAAAGTACTTCATTTCTGATTTTGTAAATATTGTCCTGAGATACCTGAAAGAAATAATTATTATTTATTATGATCAATGAGTTAATACTAAGAGATATAGCCATGATATACTATAACATACCTTAGAGTAGCTACAAAGATCAGCAGTACGAAAACACCACCAGCAGCCATATGTTCCGATGTTCGTATGGGTTGGAAACCGACAAATGGTATTTGCATACTCAGTAAGAGGCCCAAGATATAAAATGTAGTGTAACTTGTAAATAATCTATTACTGTAGCGATTTGTTACTAAAAGAGCAAAGACGTGAAATGGAATTAAGTTGATAATAAAGACATAACCTCCCCATGCAGAAACCATGTAAAAGTACGATAATGCAGTCATCGATGCCCAAAATATGGAACCTGTCTTGACGGATTTTACCCAAAGGTAATAGGTGAATTGTAAAGCAAAAATTGCAATCCCCTCATTATCATAACTGCCTGCCACAGATCTTGATATATACCCTGGCACAATCGCTATGAAACAAGCCGCGAATAGTCCTGCTCCGGCACTCCATAATTCTTTAGTTAAGAGATAAGTTGAAATTGCTGTAAGACCACTAAAAATGGGTGCTAAAAATACGCAAATGTCCCTAATGTGAACCGGAATATTTAATGAATGGAGAATATAGTGTATCGACCCTGACGTTATCATAAGTCCTGGATAAACGGTTCCACCCACGATACGACCAAGGGGATACCATGCTCTCTCATCGAACCAGTTCAAGAAGTTGTAGAATCCATGCTGTACCATGTACGCGGTTGCTCGGTAATTGAACCTATGTATCATGTGATTCAATTAATAGATACAATAATTAAATATTTTCAAGGTTGGTCGACATTACATAGATACATACCAAGGATCAAATTCATGTATGATGCTTTCAAATCGTATGACTGCAAACAGTCGGGATGCAAATCCAGATATCCAGGCAAGCAACAAAACTGTAAATGTAATAAGCGAGCTGAGACCAGCGGCGTTCGTTAGCGTGGAGGACTTCATTTGCTTGGATGTTGGCTTTTTATCGGGAAACAGAAGTTTTTTCGTATACGGCCCAGCAGTTTTACTTGGTAGCATCTTTTGCTGGGACTGGTCGTTCCGATGGCGTTAACCCGAGAAGGATAAAAACTCCTCCTCGAGGCGTACGATTCGCCGAAGGCGTATCCACGCGGACGTTCAACGCCGTATCGTCTGGATTTCGGCTCGTGAGCCAACACGGATGTCAGACAGACACCGGACACGAAAGTCCGAACACCTTCCAAGGGTTAGGACACGTCAAACGCCGGCTACGTGTCCACTCGGCCGGCTGATCCGTTCGCCCTTGTTCGCCCTAACTGGTTGCTCGCCGTGCCGTTCCATTTCCCGTTCTTGTTCCTTCCGTCAGTATTTTCTAGTTCTCTCGACTATGCAACCGTACACGTGGCCATGCTCGTCTATGGACCAGCTTCGACAAAAAACCGCTAGATGGTAGTGGCTCCTGTTATTTACGAAATATGGACCATCCACACTCTTCTACTGTCTTCTTGAAACCGTGGTCTGTAAATTTTGTGGAATTTTGGCTTTCGTCTACTGTGTCTCTCGGTTCTAATCAAGGAGAGACCTCGAAAAATGGCTGGAGCTCTTAAAGCGGTAAATACCAAGTTTATTCTAGATTCGAGAATATTTTCTAGGTACTTTGAACACATGTAAAAAGTATCTTCGTTTGTACTATGAATATTAATCTGAAGCAACCAGTTTTAGAAGGCTACGTCGATATAAGCTTATCAAGAGTTGAAATGTTTATTTCCTTTATTTTATGTGAATAACGCTTGGTGGAATATGGAGGAAATTTGTGTAAGACTACTTACTAAACTTGTACGTATTGTTACAGACCACAGGCCTCACGGGTCTTGCAGTTAGTCAAACTCCACATCATACTTTGACGATGCTCTACGGTAAAATTCGTAGAGCACTAGACAGACTGCCAAGTGATTATGCATACAGACGTTATACCGAAGAAATAATAAAACAAAGGGAGAGTATCGTTAAAAATGTAAGCTTCTTTTTAGTCATCGTTATCAATTACAAATGAAACAATATCCAGAGTCTGTAAACTTCTACGGCATTGTATTCATTTCAGAATTCAAGCGTAGAAGAAATTGAAAAACAGATCGACGGGGGTCAAGTCGAAGAACTTATCATTCAAGCCAACAACGAATTGCAGTTGGTACGTAATATGCTGGAATGGAAAACATGGGAACCGCTAATCGAAGAGGAGCCACAGCATCAATGGACATGGCCACCCCACAAGTAATTTTGACTTAAATTATAGAAACTTGTATATTGTAAATTATTATATATCGTAGTCTTTAAATGAAAAATATTTACACTTGATATAGTTTCTGATTTATTCCATCGACGACATATTCAAAAACGCATAAGACTTTTGGCTACAAATCCCTGATTACCATGACATTGATGACATACAACGCTAATCGACGTCTTCGCGATCTGTACTACTTTGCATCTAATGTATTTTGCAACTTTTAATTTATCAAGATGTTTCAACATTAGGTAAATCGATTCTCCGAACATTAAGATCGGTAGATCTTATGGATAGTATTTTGCGATACTTTCTCACCCGCATCAAGACGCAAGTAAGAACGAAATTGTAATTAGACGATTGAATCGATATTTTTGAATTTCTATGCAAGTAGTGAGATCAACAGTGATGAAAGAGTTATTTCCAACGACCAGCTTTTCTAACGCACTGCCATCAAGATTAACATCGATAAAGTGCCTCCACGGACGTCCCCGTTTTTTAATATATTCACAAGTAGGAATTTTTCTACAAGGTCGGACCGACCGTTCGCTCGATGCGTGATCTTGCCTCTTACAGGGACGCTAAAAAAAGAAACCGATCGTTCCCGATTTTCAGGCATTGTCAGGAACGTCAACTCCAGCCCATTGTATCTTCGATGTGGTAGAGATAACGCGAATGAAAAAAAAAAACGATATGCAGGACCGTCGAGTCGGTCTGAGCGCGCAGGGTCGTCGAGTCGCCGCGCGGTAGGTCAGTGTCCACGGTCGCAGCTGAAACAGTTCCGCCTTGCCAGGCTAGCGGGTTGCGAGAACAACGAAAGGGAGGAAGGAAGGAAGGAAGGAAGGAAGGACCGTTCTTTGAACGCATCGGAGCATGAACCTCGATCGCGCGTCTCCCGCCGCGGCCGCTGGGCCACCCGGAAGCGGAGGATGGCTATCTTCGCGGGTTTCTCTCGCGGAGGGTTACTCGCTCGCGCGGAAACCGGGAACGAACGGCGAGAACAATTTTCACGAATCGAGGGAAAGTCATTTCCCGGTCGAGGCGGGCGTCGCATCAACGGAAACTGCGGGAGGAATTCGTCATAATTCGTCGACGGCGGGTGCCCTTTCGCTCGTTCCTCGCGGGGGGCGGAGGGACGCGCGACGGCGGCGAAGGTGCGGAAGATGGGTGGGGTTGCCGGGAGTCTCCGTGGGAGCGAGCGAGTCCGAGCGGTGGAGGAGTGGGGGTAGCGCGGGCCCGCAGGAAGAGGAGGGTCGGGCCGCGCTCGCCCGCACTCACTTGCCGGACGTCGAGCGAGGCGGACCGCGCGCTCGTCTCATCTGTCAATGTAAACATCCTCGCTCGGCCGCCGAGCGCGCGCCTGCGCCCCGCCGCCGACAGGGATCGACTTTCGGTCGGCTTCCGCGAACAGTGCGCGGAGGACGTCGTCGTGGTTGGTGGTGTTTGGGATTTCGAGGTGTATCGGAAGAGTCTCCGAGGGTTTCCCGCCACCCGGCGATGTAGAGGCGACCCCCTCGAGGGAGTTTTTCCGCCGCGGCGGACCGCGCGGCTGGAGAACAGCTCCTCCGATTGGGAAGGCCCTCGATCTCGGTGAGTCCTCAACGGTACTTCGCGCGAGCGCTTCCTCGGGGATCTCATCGGGATTTCGCGGCAGGTTTGCTCGCAGCCAAGTGCCTTGCCGGGAAATATGGAAGGAGATTCTAGGCCGGCGACCTTATGCAAGGAGCCAAGAAGGAGTGGCAATCGAATGCCTCGCGTTCCGTTTTCACGGGTTTACTCGTTAACACGTTAAGTGCGCCGTCGGTCCCTGGGAACCGACGTAGCGTCGAGAATTCCATGTGAAAAAAAAATTCTGCAGCCTGAATGGAATGTAGAACAACATTAACTCCGAGGTTACCGCGTTAAAGGTAGTTAACTATATACTTTCCTTTCCATTTAGGGGGCGAGATTTTTGCAACAGATCCCTGGAGATCGACGTCGCTCGAGCCGGGATTCTGTACGCCAGTTTGATAGCTATCAAATTGCCGTTCAGATTCATGCCTCTGACCTGAGAATTTAATGTCGGCCCCAGATGATACCGCATTTAACGTGCCAAGTATTATTAACTTTCGACTTGGTGCGCAAACGGTGCAGGTCTTGGGAGCGCGGAAGTTTGCAACACGGATTCCAATGAGAGCGTTCACAGCCAATTGCCCACCCCGACTGTGAACGCTCGCGTTGGAATCCGTGTTGCAAACTTCTGCGCTACCATTGAGTTCTGCACTAACCCCGCACCGAGTCGAGCGCGAACGATAATTTACTTGGTTAATGGTTTACGGTTCGCGAGACCGTTGCGCCGGTCTACGATTCAGAGAGGAAGATCGATCGGTTCGGGACGTCGAGGACGCCGAACCGGTACGGAATCCACAGGCCAGGGATCGATTCGAAATCGTCCTTCCGTTCTTTCTTCTTTCTAATTACGTTCCATCGCGTACGCCAAGTCGATCGCCGCTATTCCTCCGCTTTGGCATCGATCCGGTTCGGCTCGGCTCGGCTAAGCTCGGCCGCGTTCGGCAATCGAGCTCGCCGTGATCGAGTCGAGCACGGAGCGTTAACGATGATCGATGCAGGCTCCGCAACGGTCCGCTCTCGCCGACTCGATCGCTCCGAACGAAACGGTAGAAACCGTAAAACCTGATCTGCGAAAGGCGATCGATCGTCCGCCGATCGTAGGGGCTTTTCGCTCTTATAACCTTATAACGCGTTTGTAAATAGAGATATTAGAAAATATGAAAGTAAGGACACGAGGCGGCGAGTTTCGAGTAGGAGGGAACCGATTGATGTGTGTTCGATACGTATTCGATGCGTGTTCTAATGAAGGTTTTGAAAATTGGGACATTTCATTTTTCGAGGAAAAAAAAAAGAAGAAAAGGAAAAGAGTTTTCTTTTTGTTTCTTGCCCGCGATAAATAAAAGAAGTTTTCTCGAAAGATCAAATTTCGCGAGTTTCAAGACCTTCGTGTTAGGACCTTCATAATCGCGTGTTAAAGTTTCAAATAATTGGACGTACCCAGTTTGGGGGAAAAAGTTATGCAATTATTTTGACGTTTTGACGTATATAGAATGGCTCTTTCGTATCGGGAAAGTCGGTAGAGTTTCGCGCGAGGTACATTTAAAAGCATGGGCGAACGGGACCGAATACTTGAACGCCAAAGTTCGGCACTACGATTTGATGAATGTTTATTTCTTAAATAAGAGAACCTATCGTCTCAACACATTCGCGACCGGAAAATATTTTCCGTTTCAAATACTGAGTACCGGGGAAAATAATTAAATTCTGAAACTGGTTGCCGCAAACTTGTATCGTGTATCGTTATGGACGTGATTCACGTCAGCGGCGATCAGGAATATAATTTAAAATGACGTGAATTTACATCAGCGGCAACCAGGAATAGAACTTGAAAAGACGTGAATTCACGTCAGCGGTCGCAAATATGTTAACACTCCAGTCACCGGCTGGGCTCCCGGCGGTCGCAGGTTCCGGGGGTGGGTTTCGTCGCGTTTCGGCGCGCTCTCGAGGAGGAGGAGAGGAGGGCGACGCTCTCGCCGGTTCGGAGGACGGTAACGCGGCGTGACGTCGACCCGTTAGGCAACTCGTGCCGGGCTTCATCGAGATATCCGGAGTCGGAGTCTCGCGGGCAAGACGTCCGATCCGATGAGGAGTGTTTCCGCGGGCGTGGGTACCGATCGGCGAAATCGTCTCCGCCGCGACTGCGTTCATTCTGCCCAACCCTTCGGGACGAATCGTTTTTTAGCGGTCGGCGCGCCCGGCATACCGATCGGCATATCGACTCGATCCGGCCACTTTAGAGGCGAGTCGACACCCGAGGTATGCGCGCCCCTTCCCCGCGGTGGTCCCCGCGTGCGTGCCGATCCGTGCCAGGGAAAGTAAGAGCCGGCCGCGACTCGTTCGCGCTCGCCGGCGGGCCCGAAACCCGCGAGGCGACGTTTCCACCGAAGGGACGACTCGCCGCCGCGTGGTATGAGTTTTCGCCGGGCTTCGAAAGTTTCATTAACTAGTCGGGCTCCCACGAAGCCCGACTTCCCTGAGAACGGCCGCGAGGAAATCGAGCCGGCTCGGCTTCCGGACCGACCTCGCCGTTCGGGACTTCCGGCTCGCCGACTCGCGGGGAGTCTCCCTCGGGCCGATCGCTTGCGCGCGCACCGTTAAGCTGCCCGCTCACGATTAAGTTAACGGCGACTCGCTGCGACCTTCCTTCCTTCCTTCCTTCCTTTCCTTCCGCCCCGGGCGAGGGCGGCGAAGCCGGACGTTTCGTAGCAGAGTATTCTACTGACGGTAGAATTTGTTAGGATATTATTAGTTTTCCAGCACTATATCTGACAAAAATTCACCAGTACGGCAGGATACGATGAAAATTCATCTGTACGGCAGAATACGATGAAAATTCACCTGTATGGCAGGATACGATGAAAATTCATCTCTACGACTAGATACGATGAAAAATCACCTGTACGACTGGATACGATGAAAATTCACCTGTACGACTGGATACGATGAAAATTCACCTGCACGACTAGATACGATGAAAATTCAACTATACGACAAAGTATGATGGTAAAATACGATTAAATTCACCGGTAGGAGAAAATATGACGAAAATTCACCTGTACGACAACATATGACGAAAATTCACTTACACGACAAAATACGACGAAAATTCACTTACACGACAAAATACGAAAAAAATTCACTTACACGACGAAAGTTCGCCTGTACGGCAGAATACGACGAAAAATCATCGGTAGGAGAAAATACGTTGAAAATTCACCTGTACGGCAAAATACGACAAGAATTCACCTGCATGACAGAAAACGATGAAAATTCGCCAGGTCGGTAATCGAAGTAGATTAGATTAGTTACGCCGAGGTGACCGAAGGGGAAGCCGGCAGGGAAGTACGACTTATTTTGTTTCGTTTCTCCCCATGAAGGGAGATGTTTCTTTTTTAACGGATAATTCTAATTTGTTAATATATCTCAGTTAGTAAACCGCTCGACGACAAAACGTCCCGGACTGCGAGGGGCGCCGGGAAATCGGCGACGAGTCGCGAGGGGAAAGGCGACTTTCGAACCCGTCTCCCGATCGGCCGGGCGAAGTTACTTTTTCCGCGGGCGACGACTCTTTCTTTTTACGCCGCGCTGTCGTCGACTCCTCTCCGCCCGGGGCGGCCGATCTGGGTCACCGTCGAAAAGAAAGCTGCGCGCCCGGTCCCATTGACCGTGCTTCGATCGACCACCGGGGACTTTCTCGGCCACCCGGCCTCGCCGGTCCGTCCTTCCCGTCGCGCCACGCACGTTTCCGATTCGCGCCTCGGCTCCGAGGGAGTCACTCCGGAACGCGGAGGCAAGTGCCATCCAGACCATGGATATATAAACCCCCAGTAGCACAGAATATTTTCTAAATATCTTTTGCAATCTTTGCTAGATATCTCAAGCGACAGATTTTCTAAGATGCCTCGTAGATTTCATTTGAAGATATATAAAATATTTCTTGAAAATCTCAACGACATATTTAGTTTCAACGATTACGCAATGCAACGAGCCGTCTCTCGGAAAGAGAGAGAGAATCGCCCTTTTTATTCTCGCCACGGTCGTAAGAACACCAAAAGGAGTGATCGGATGTTAGGAGTCCGTACCCTGTGTGGGAAAAAAAAAAGTTGGTCGTCTCGAGGAAATACGCATTGCTGCGAGAAAACCCTGCGATCGTAAGAAATGTCAGCAAGAGTAATGGAAATTCGTTTAAATCAACGATATAATTTTTCTCGACAAAATGATCCTTTCTTGCAGTTACATACGATTCAGGCTACGATATATATTTCTTTCAGTCTATTAATCTTTTTTTTCTCGGTGTACCGTCCGTATATCCTATGTCAAAGGCGCCTCACAAGGACGCGAGCCGCCTTTTCGAGGGGGAAGTAACGGTCGTCGGTGAAATTATCCGGAGAGATACCGTAACCGTACGCAGCCGTACCTGGCTTTCGTCACCGTCGTTTCGCGCCGAGGGATCTCGGCAAAGATCGACGGGGAAGAGGGGGGCGAGCGAAACGAGAGCGAAACGAGAGCGAGAGGAGCGCCGTCGCAGGTGTACCCGGCCGTGTTCGATTAATTCGCCGAGGGCCTCCTTCAGGACGACTCCTCCGAAAGGAAGAGGAAGTCGCACGCTCGACTCGGGCCGCGGGAGAAGGAGGGAGCGCGGTGGAGACGCGGACGGGGGAACGCTGCTTTCGGCGCGTGAGAATTCCGCGGGTTCTTTTCCGAGAGCGATCCCTCGGACTAATGGAAAGCGGGACGTCGGCCTCTCGTTTCCGCGTTCCTCGGTCCCCGGGCACTGGCCGCGGGACGACTTAGCTCCAAACAGGAGCAAACGGCGTATGACTCCCTTTCGGACTCCGCTTGTTTCCCGAAGGACCGGGCCGCGCCAAGTAAGCGCCCCGGTGAAAGCGACGCCGGCGTCGGCGACGACGCGCTTCCCGCGGACGCGGTGGTTCCCGTTAAGTCGCGTCGCACGATGCCTCTAATTGCGAGCGCGGAGC